GGTTTATAGCAAAGAAAATTCAGGAAAAATTAAAAAAAAAAACTTCTTTTAATCACCAAACGAAATGTTACATAAAACGAAGCCATCTGGTGGCGAAACGGAGTTCGCCGGGTTTACTAGTATATATATATATATATCTTCAATATTTAATATACTTTCCCCCCTTGTGACAAACCCGTGCGACGCCCTGTATACCTCGTTGTAGGGGCGTGATGTCATTTGCCGCAGCTCTTGCAGCCATCCCTCGGGACTCGGGCCATGCGGCCCTTTTGGCCCCAGGGCAAATACGACCCTGCCTAGGTGGCAAACATCTATTGCCCGGGGCCTCGCAAAGTCTAAGTTCGCTTTGCGGCGTGTACCTATAGGTACCTATCTCATTAAAGCTCTCAATGTGATATCCATATTGAAATCATTGCAGTTTTATTCTCATATTTTGTAAAATTTACCTCCGCAAAGATGATTCATAGTAAAGTGTCACTTTTGAGCTTGTGAGCTTGTGATAAATCGAACAATATACGTACATCCAAGTTTGTTCAGGCATTTCGAAGTTGTGTCATGGTATGGCTGTGATTGGTCACAGAATCAAACTTTTAAATTTAATATTACCTTCACTCCTTTTATATGGTCGATTAAAAATAAACAATAAATATTAAAATTATGTATCGGAAGCTTGTCAATATTGTAATATAAATCAATATCTTGATACAATTAATGCAGTTTTACTATCTGCGTGAAAATATTTGCAGCTTTTAAATTAAGTGCAGAAATCTGTTTTATATTCAATAAATAATATCCGCATAAGCTTAATGTAATGCATGCTGAGTTCGCCTATAAGTAATTACACTACACATTTTATCACTGAATGTAAAATTGTATTAAATAAGATGTATTGATGAAGTAACTGTTGGTGATCCAATAAAGAGAAAAAAAAACCGGCCAAGTGCGTGTCATGCCACGCGCAGTGGAGGGTTCCGTAGTTGCCCGTCGTTATGACAATAATGTCAGCCACCCTAGTATGAGCACCGCGATATGATACATAACGCGTTTTTATCACGCTCAATTGTCAAATTCCTATGGAGTTTGGCAGTTAGACGCGATCAAAATCGTGATACGATGTAAATTGTGGTGCTCACGCTACGGGGACTGGAGTCCTTGAATATTCTTTTTTGTTTTCTCCCAGGCCTCACCTGGAGCGGGTATGAAATCCTCTCACCCTACAGCCGTCTGCAAGGTAATGTCACACACTTACTGACTAAAATACACCCGAAGTTCATGCTTGTTTCGAGAAGGGCCTTTCATGCTTCATCTGCGGCATCATATCATTTAGCGGCAGCTTTGTGGAACTAATGATATTTTATTGTGGTATTTTTAGATTTTATTTTTCAATATATGGTTTTAGTCAGGTTTTATAAAGCCGTTGATACAGCGCCATCTAGCGGCAGCTTTAAGGAACTAATGTTTTTTTTTCTAAATGGCTTCGCACGGCTTGTGCATTAAACCAATGTCAAGTGTTAAAATGTTTACAAATTCTATAGCACACGTGGTCAAAGTAATAAATCAAGTCAAAGTAAGTGACAGTTAAGTCAAACCCCCTTTCCCTATGTTTCAGTAAATGTGTGGGGATTTACTGGACCTCCCCCTGGACTTCTTGAGGGAACGTCGAAAGAAGCTATTTTGTTTCACTTGCCAACATTGTACATGTTCCCGAACACTTAGTGGTTAATAATCCACCATTATTAGACACTAACATCCGCCACAACACAATTTTAAAAGAAAAACAAAACTGCTAAATCGACGCTTCCCGATCCCGAAAAAAAGTCCTAATGATATTCTTCTTCTTCTTTTTCATTTTTTATGGCATGCACGGATTGTGGGTTCAGCCAATGTCAAGTAAAATAATGATACTCTATTATGGTATTATTAAGGATTTTATTTCAGATTTTGTTTTTCAATGTAAAAGGTTTTACGCGTTATAAACAAGCAATTACTTCGTTGAATAGTTTGCGAGTGCGAAATGTCAATGTCAAATTTTGTATGGAAACTTGAACAGCAGCGCAGTACGTAACGAGAACTAAAAATCAATACACATTTGATCGAATTCGAATAGTTAGCGAGTGCAAATGTCATTGTCAAATGTGTACTGCTTTTTAGTTCTCGTTACGTCCGTTTTGTCGCTGCCGTTCCAGTTTCCATACAAATTTGACAATGAAATGCTAAGAGTAGTACGTACCGCACGAACCAATAACAAAGTCGATTAATTTGCCAGTCCGAAACGTCATTGTCAAATTTTGTATGGAAACTACACTCGCGAGCAACCAAATCGACTCATGCGCTACCTCAACATTTAAATAAAAATAATACGTCATTTGAAAGCTTGAAACCTAAGCTTTAAAAAACATCAAGTACCAACATGTTCATTTGCGCAATTAGTGCGTATGGGACTAATTACTCACTACGCTAACTGCGAGTTGCGCTACCCTTCAACCCTTACACGTGCACGTTGCACGTGTTTAAAACCCTTGAAAGAGCCCTGCGCTGGTTGTTCCGGGCGCGTCATAAAACCGAATATTAGCATTGTTTTACTCGAGGTTATAACTCCGACAAACCCGATCACGAACAAAAAACACCCATTTACCTCATTTAAAACACGCGATGGTAACTCAAATAAACACCATTGTTATTTGAACAATGAACGCGCCGAACACTAACACATTAAACATAACACAACCACCGGGCGCATCAAGCCGAAAGGCGCTTCGCTTGCGTCATTCAATACGCGCAGTTTAAAACCAAACCTAAGCGAGTTAAAAATATTCATGCAGGACAGGGAACCCGCCTTTCTGCTCCTTCAGGAGACTTGGCTCAAACCAACTCAAATGAAGGGGCTGTCGATCCCTAAGTACAAGCTTATCCGGAACGACGGTGCCAATGCCAACGCACGCGAAGGCACCGCAATTTACTATAGGCGCGACTTACAGTGTACGCCGATACTCACTCCCCCGCTTACAAACATGGAAGCCACTATCTGTAGGCTGGCGATGACAGGACACCAGTCCTTAATCATCGCTTCAGTCTACATTAAATCAGGTACACACCCCCTCCGCGCAGACTTCGAAACACTCACAACACTAGGTAACTCGGTCATAATGTTCGGTGATTTCAACTCCAAACACACCGACGGGACATGCCAGACCACTACCACCTCTGGCCGCAGACTACTACAAATCACCGAGGAACTTGGCTTAGATGTCATCAGTTCCTACGCTCCCACCCACTAACCCGACAATGTACAAAACCGACCCGACGACGATCGAAACGCTCGACAACCTGGGGTCCGACCACAGACCGGTGTCCCTAGTTCTAGGTCCCCAAGACCCACTAGACGCCCCTTTTTTTCGATGACGGGGAGAAAAAATGCATTATATCCACGACAATGACCAACGCCGCGTTGGTTTGCTGTCAACAAACTCTCGCAACGCAGGTAATTGCGTGGTGCATTCGGCAAGCGGCGAGCAGCCCGAGGGCCGCTATTCGGAGAGGGTATGCGTTGACGTGCACTCACGCAAGCGTGGCTTACGTAAAACCACCCCATCTCCGAGCAGCAGCCCGGTCCGCACCCGCTTTCGCCGATCCTGGGCTTCTCCGTTCACAGCGTCACCTGTCTCACGAACCACAGCCCGAGCGGCTAGCCAACCGACCAGCTCCCGTACCTACCAGGTAAACCAACTCCCCGATCTACCCCTCCCCCTCCGGGCATAACTGCGGGATCCAGTTATGAGTCGCCGCTTTTTATGCCTGGGTTCCTACCCCCTCGCGATGGTGCCGCGGAGCACCCTCTTCCTGGCAGTCACAGAAGGTTCCGCTAGAGGAATAGCAGGCGGGTCGGCGCCGCCGAGAAGTCCTCCCCCTCCTGCGTCGAAGAGAGTTCGCGTGGGCTTGTTCCTCGCGAACTCTCTCCGCCGCCTCCTTCCGAGCGATGACCTCCTCACAGAAGGAGACCACCACCTGCCAGGATCTGTTACTTCCAAGCATGGCCCGTATCACGCTGAGAAGTCAGAGTCGGCCGACGAGATCAAACAAATCATTAGAAACCTAAAACAACGCAATGCCCCAGGCGCCGACGGCATCTCAAACAAGGCGCTGAAGTACTTTCCCACCCAAGTACTACCCATGCATGCCCTCCTATTTAATGCATGCTTCGATCTGTGCTACTTTGAAAGAAGCCACAAGCCATCGTAATAGGCATCCCCAAACCCGGTAAACCCGCGCACCTCCCCAGTAGCCACCGGCCTATTAGCCTCCTCAAGGCAATGGAGAAAATATTCGAGAAAACAATACTGACCAGACTAAGAGAGCATCTTTTCTCACCATCCGATCCAATCATCATTCACAACCAATTCGGTTTCAGAACCAAACACTCCTGCCCACAGCAAGTCCACCGCATAGTGGAAGACGCACTAAGCGGATTTCAATTCAACAAAAGCAAGCCTTTGATAGTATACCAATGACATCCCTAAGACCAAGGGTGTCGAGCTCGCCCTCTTCGCGGACGATACGGCGGCCCTCTACTCGAGAGGAGCAAGTGTAAAACAAATAAAATAAATGCTGAACCAAAAATTTTATACTTCTTAAGAAAAAAACGTGTTTTATTTGTGTCAATTCTGAACACAACTCCTTTATCCATAATCCCATTTAAGTTCAGACACCAATAATAATAAAAAAATATACATGGATATTAATAATGATGATATCTCATAAAAGCTGAAGTTTCGAGCTTACAAATGACATATAATTTTTATTAAAATGTTGTATACTTTTACTTTGCTCCATGAAAAAATGCGAAAAAAATACTATAGTACGTAAAATGTCGTTTTTTTGACATGTATCTAAATAATATCTGTTAATATTTAAGCAAATTTTGTTCTATCTAACACTTTTATATATATAAAACAATTGTCATATGCAGGGTCGGTTATATAGCCGTCTCTTTTCCCCGCGGTCCTTACTGCTATATGCTAACAGCACCATTTAGAATTGCGCGTAGAGTCAAAGAAATAAGATCTATATTCTACCGCATAAAGCAATAAGTCGCAAAAGTTTACGAGCTTACATTTCCAACTGTCATAACTCTTTGACACATGCGTTTTAATAAAGACCTTATACAGTATGAATTAAAGGTGACTTTCAATGTTTAAATAATGTCTTACTTACTGACAACGCGAGCATCTTACGGAGCTCCGTGGATCGTCCAATGTACCTTTTGGACAGTTTTCGGCCACGATTTTGTTCTTATTGTTGTATCTAAGGTATTTAATATCGTTGTGGCTACGACCACAAGCCATCGTCGTAGCCATTATTAAAGACAACATCAACATTCAAAAAATTTTATTATTAGATTATGATACACTCAATAACATTTGTATATGTCTCTGAAAAATCAAAATCGGTACATTTGTGATTCCACAGCATAAACAAATATACAAATAACATCCATGATTTCACTACAGACATTTACAATTTAATTATTTACAACTTCGATGTGAGCTCTGGAACAGCCTTGAATAAATCTGCCACCAGACCATAATCAGATACCTGCGAAATAAAATCTTAAAGAAAATGTTTGCCTTTATAAAAATAAAATCTAAAATAAAACTACAAGAAATGCATTAAATCTTTAACAATTGCACCATTATTACCTTTTTGTGCATGATATCTACAATAATATAACAGGAATATTAAATCAAATATGTAACATCACTATTCAATTATCTTTATCAATAAATTTATATTCTTTAGTTACATGCGAAAAATTGCGTATTGATTTATTTATTTATTTTTTATGGTTATTTTACAAATGGCTTAATGCCATAAAGCATTCTCGATCAGTCAACCATCAGGCTAAGCAGCGAAATTATGACAGTAAAGTTAATTAAAAAAAATAGATCCATCAAATACACCCAAAAATTGCATATGTTACTGTGATATTAAGTAAACTCTATTGAACTTATGATAATATTATCTTAATAATGTATAAACAATTTTGTTCCAGATAAATTGATCTACTATTGAACTGTACTGTAATACTGAACAGTATTAACGAATATAATCTAGTGATCTTGGAAACAAAATGTAGAAGCATTTTGTCTTTATTTATTTTATAATAGAAATAAAAAATCTTTTAAATGTGCTTGAAACTGAGAATGTATGTATAATGTGATATTTATGATATAAATACGACAATGTATTTTGTTATTATTTTATTAATTTGATTTTCTTTTAATTTAAGTTAAATTTTTCAGTTACCTGGAATATAGGTGCCTCAGGGTCCTTATTGATGGCCACAATGGTCTTAGAATCTTTCATACCAGCTAAATGTTGGATCGCTCCACTAATTCCAACAGCTATGTATAGATCCTGGAAACAAAACGAAATATGATAGTATAGACAACAATCAAGTCAACAATGTGTTGAAAAATATAATAATTTTATTGGTATTAGAAAAGAAGTTAAGAACAAATAGGCAGAGTTGAATCTACTGTAGAATAACCTCATAACAGTCACCACATTTTGCCTACTAAGGGCCAATAACAATCAACAAGACAGTTGTGATTTCTATGTCAAAGTTGTCTGTTCTGTAGGTACATTAAGAAATGCATACCAATAGAATCTGTAATTATATTCATCACTGTAGGCATTCTGTACTAGGAAGTTAGTAAGGGTGTTGGAAATGAAATGCATGGTGATAGACCACAGGCTTCTATAAATTATTCAATAACAAAAGTTCAAAGTTAGTTGATGATAATATAACTATATTTAAACCATAATTTTAACACAAGACACTTCTGAAAATGTTTTTAATAGGTGTTTTCAAACTGTTGAGCAACTTTTCTTTTGTATTTTTTTTCTCATCATTAGGAATAGCTCATCAGAGTCTCAGGTATTTATTACAAGAATTTATAACTTTAGCTCTTTGAACTGCATTATCAACTCACCGGAGCTACAATTTTGCCAGTCTGTCCAATCTGCAAGTCGTTGGGCACAAACCCTGCATCAACAGCAGCACGAGAAGCACCAACAGCAGCATTCAACTTATCAGCTAGATCATAAAGCAACTTGAAGTTGTCTCCTGACTTCAGACCACGCCCTGCACATAACAATAAGTATGTTATTTCGATACAACCAATTTCAAATTTCATTCTATTTATAAGTAAAGTTAAAGTTGTGATATAAGCCATTCTCTTTCGTAAATAATTATTTTCTTATCAATAAAATTACATTACAAATTTAATTATGCTTATTCTGATTTGAATGTTCCAGCAATACTTACCACCAGATACAATATTCTTAGCACTTGTCAGCTCAGGCCTATCTGACTTGGTCAGTTCCTGTGAAACAAATTCAGTAAGATCTGACTTGTAGTCACCCTCAGGAGCTTTCTCTACAGCTGCAGAACCACCTTCCAAAGGCTCAGGAGGGAATGCTGTTCCTCTAACTGTGATAACCTTGATGGGATCTTTAGCCTCTAAAGTTAGAATGGCATTTCCTGCAAACAAAATAAATTTATTTATAATTAAACAAATATCAGATTTTTCTCATGCAAAAGAGGTTTAGGTCAATGATATAAAATAAAATTTGGTTTCTGCCAGTCCCCATAGCATGAGCACCACAATTTACATTATATCATGTTTTATATCACTCCAAACTGTCAAACTCCATAATACAATGTATACTTAGACAATTAGAGTGATAAAGAAAAACTATATATTCTCTTTATATGATTTGTTTAAAACTATAAGTTTTTGTGACATCTTGTGTTGTCTTATTTGTTTTAGCAACTGGAATGCACTCATACAAGAAGTACACTTACATCGTAACTTTCTCTACTTTACATAAATAAAATAAACATGTCCCTCTCAACATGGGATATTGGAGAGATCTCTGTGCAAAACGGAGAAAGCCATAAACAAAAAAACTATATATCATATCATGGTGCTCATGCTAGGGGGTATCATAATTATATCTATATATGTATGTATATAAACCATATGAAAATTAAAAAACTTACCAGCATAGATGGTCCTAATAAATGTATTAGCATCTTTTACACCTATGATATCTGTTATTGGTGACACATCAAGCTTAGCTGCTACTCTTGGCAGTACAGATTTTCCGATAGCAGTAGCAGGTGCCACTATGTGAGTGAAATTGAACTGCTTCTGTGTGGCCAATATAAGCGGGGTCAAGGATTCGGCTGTGAAGCCCTTGAAGGCATCACTCTCGGCAACAAGAACTTTTGATATACCTCCAGCTTTAGAAATCTTCTCGGCAGCCTAAAAGTAAATAAGTACAGCTGTAGCAAGAAAGAAGAAATTACACAGACACGTCATTATACAGGTAAAGGATTTGAGAATCTTGGATCATAATTAAAATTTACTATTAACTTACAGGTCCACATTTAGTGCCAGCAACGAGGACAGATACGTCACCTCCTATCTTTTTTGCAGCACTCAATGCATTTTGAGTAACAGCAGACAATGCCTCATTGTTGTGTTCAGCTATCACCAAAGTACTTTGTAATCGACGGAACTGCAGGAATAATTAACAGGTTCGTCAACAAAGTTAGTTCTCAGTACCTAATGAAAGTTTCTAGTAATGTTTCAACAAACCTGATTTGATAAAAACAAATGCCTACTAGGTTGTGTTAACATTTTGTATTTTCAATTTCGAAATAATTCGAAATAGATACTTAACAAAAACTACTTGTAGAAAATAAAATTACTTTCAAAAAGGTTACAAAGTCCAAAATCAATTTTTTTCTTTTTGTCTTTTTTAGATAATAATTTAACGGCTTTGGATAGAAGCTATGGGCTATGTCATTATCATTATATTTTTGATAATCATGGACATAACACCGAATAGTGAGAGATAAAGAGGCATTTTACCCTTTCTAATAATATGAAAACTTTTCAAAACTTAATAACTTAGTAATGTTTTATTTTAAATTAAATTAAAAGTGCCAGTCTATAATTTTAATGTCTCATCTCTGTTTTATAAACGTTATGGGGTTGAAAATTGTGGAAAAGCTTTCCTGTTCCATCTATTCATAGGGTGAATCCTACAATACTTATAAAAACTGGTTAACCGTTAATAACTTTCGAAATTAATTTATTTTTAATTGTCTTTTTGCTTAAAACCGTTCACGTGAGGGGATTCTAACTGGAGCCCATTCAGTATAACTATAATAATACTTATTTTAATTTAAAAAATAAAAAATGGCTCAAAATGTTATTCATCGCCTTGAATTTAAGCCAACTACCTTGTAAAAACAATTATGTAAGATTATAATAATCGTTAAGAACACGTTTTTAATAGTTTAAATATTTAATAGGTTAAAATATCATGCCATCCGTAAAAAAACGGTAAAATTAATAGTATTTTACGAATTACATTATTTAAAAATTTTGTCACCATAAAATCGTCATTCAATTCACGATGACAACTCCAGCAAGATTAGTCAGTTTCTGAGCATGTCGCGAAACGTTTTGCCCCCGCCGCCCGCGCCTTGAATCATCGGCGATTTTCACTAGAGACGGACGTGTGACGTGTTTGGTTCGCATTAATTTTCGATGCAAACTTCGTTCGCAGTGAATTGTCACAAAATTACGTCATTTTTATAAAGTGTGTGATACCATAACGAATAGAGGTAAGTCAGCTTAAATCTACGTTTAGGACTAAATATAATACGTGCATTTCAACTTGGCTAAGTAAATACCTATAGCGAAATAGAGTTCAAAGTCATACGATCTGTCATTACGCTCGTAGTCATTACGCTCATATTTCATCAATATTACATACGAATGTAATGACACGGTCATGAACGTAATGACAGCAAATGAATCTGTATCATCATCATCAGCCTATTAATGTCCCCACTGCTGGGGCACAGGCCTTCCCTATGGATGGAATAGGGAGATTGGGTCATGATCCACCACGCGGGCCCAGTGCGGATTGGCGGGTGCTAACGACTGCGTATACAGCCGGGACCAGCGGCTTAACGTGCCTTCCGAAGCACGGAGGAACTCGAGATAGAAGATTCTTCAACGATCGCAGCCGAACGCGCTAACCACCTACGCCATCGAGCTCCTCATATGAAACTGTATATGTCTAATTAAATAATTTTCGAAAACAATCTTTGTAACCCATAAGTGTAACGTAACGTTTTTAATAAACCAGGCAGTTTATTAAGTAGATTTTATGTAACTGCTATATTCGTTGGATTTTTAAATACTAATAATAAATATCTCCTCGTTGTTGCCAGGACGCAATGACAAAACCAAATAAAAAAAAGGAAGAAATTTTAGCACAGCAAAGACAAGCTAAAAAGCGTCAATATCTTCGAATAAAAAGCGACACTAAATTGTATGAAGAGCAAAAACAAAAAAAACAGAGCTGATTATACGAAAAGAAAAGAAAATAAAAAGATTTTGAGCATAAATGAGTTAAGTCCGAGAGAACAACGTTTAAAGCGCAAGAAGTGGAGAGAGAATACAAGAAGATACAGACAGAAACTAGCAGAAGAGAAAAAGAAACAAGAAATGCAGAACGTGGTTATTATGAACAGTAACAAGACTCTCATAAGTCCTGCCAAAAATAAACAGGACCCACTAGGCCCTAGTACATCAAGTGGTCAGACTGTGACTTCGCCTGAAAAATTAATTATAAAGAAAGTGAAATACAGAGAATGCAAGAAAAGACTGAAGTTGTTAGAGTTAGTTAAATCTGAAAGCAATGTTTAATTTTAAAAACAAGAAATGCAAAGTTGATCGCGATAATGCAAAATTACTTCAAAATAAGCTTTTGGTGACAATACACAAGTTTTATGAAGAAGATGTGAATAGTAGAATCGGCGCTGGCAAAAAGGAATTTATTACCAAAGGTAAAAAACGAAAACAAAAGCGTTATTTATGCGCCCCTTTAAAACAATTATATGAGAAATTTAAAGCTGAGAACAAAAACCTTAATGCCAGATACTCCACATTTTGTAGACACAGACCATTTTGGGTAGTGTTCCCAAAAGAATCCAACAGGGACACATGCATGTGCTCAATCCACTTAAACATGGATTTGCTTGTGGAAGCTTTACACAAAGCTAATATAATAAAAGAAAAAAAATCCATTGAAATGATGGCATCTCTTTGCTGTTCTGTGTATAATAGCGACTGTTTGAGAAGAATATGCACCATATGTAAAGAAAAGTACTTGATTATAAAGAGTTTAGAAATGACAGAGAATTGGAATATTATTCATGGACGCGACAGAATAAACAATATGTAACAATAGACAAAAAGAAAAGGGAAATAAGTATTATCGCTAAATCTGCAACACACGTAACGCCAATCCGAGCCATTCAAAAGTTAGATGAGGATCTGCCCTACTTTTTTCTACATTGTAATAATATTTTGAACCAATTTAATGAGATAAAGAAGTTAAAGGAAAGGCTGAGGATTCACGAAACCATACTGCACATTGACTTCTCGGAAAATTATGCTATAAAATTTGCTAAGGAAGTTCAAGCTCTTCATTTTGGAGGCAGTCGAAGTCAAATAGCCCTTCATACAGCTGTTGTTTACACTCATAATTTTCAGTCCGGAAGGGTGGAGCCTATTTCAGTCTGCGCTGTCAGTGATTGTGTTCGTCATGATGCATCTGCTATCTGGGCCCATCTGACACCTTTAATTCAACTAGCACTAGAAAAGAACCCATTCACTACTACCCTACATTTTCTTTCTGACTCTCCATCATCCCAATACAGAAACAAGTTCATTTTTTACATGATTTCTCAGCTTCACATCGATTTTCCTCAGTTGATTACAGTCATATGGAACTACTCAGAAAAAGGTCATGGGAAGGGTGCACCAGACGGTGTAGAGGTTGTTCTCAAACGAACGGCTGATGCAGCGGTAAAGTTTGGAGAAGATGTTGCAAATTTAACTGATTTTGTGAAGATATTGGAATCAAGAGTGAAAAATATCATTATAATACCTGTAACAGAACAAAATATCATCGAGAAGGAGAAAAAAAATACCAAAAAATGCGACACCGTTCCGTGGAACTCTTTCTGTTCACCAAGTTCTTTGGAAGAAAGATCAGGATTACATAACGTTCAGGAACCTAAGCTGCTTTTCTTGTGAGCCTGGTGAAATATGCCGCCATGGTCTTCATAGTGGATTCATGAAAAATCGCGGTAAAATTACTGATAACCTTCAACAATCTAAGGATTTCGTTGCTGCTCTTGTACGCACGAAGAAATGCTCAAGTGTGATAAGACCAAATATTGATAGTACAAACGATGTTGCTGAAGACGCTGTACCAAAAAAACGACCTAAGATCACCGTGCTGCAGAATTTATTATTAGTCAGTGCCAAAGACAATATTAATAATTTGATAGCGTCGACGTCTAAGGAAACTGATACAAATGAGTCTATACATAAAAAAGAAAATTTATTTGACGTTGAAGATCTCGTTCCACCAAATATCTTATTGAAGAAACCAAACTTTTGAATAAGCAACTGATGCTGCTAACTATTGAGACAAACCAAAATACTGTTTGATTAATAAGGTCATTCTTTGCGTCCTATTATTTGGTTGACTTCAGTGGCACATTTTCTTTTAATAATTTGATAATAAGTATTTTTAAACTATTAAAAAGATTATATGCAGAAATGGCACATTTTTTTATTTTGATTATTAGTATTATCAACAATTTTAAAAAAATATGCCACCATCGTCAACCAAATAATAAAATACGAAGAATGTCCCTTTATCTCCTTTAACTGTTTTTTTATTGTTTACCGTAAAAGAATTTGACTTTTATAAATAATTTTTTATTTTATTTTTCACTTTAATTGCTGTGGTTAACCGTTTTATTTTATTTAATTGACATTGACAATCTCGCGTTGCACCAATTATCGTATTTAGTAAATAATTTGACAGTTCACTAATGCTGTAGACAGTTGAGATTCTATATTGTAATTTAAAAGGTAGATATAAAAAATAATGTTGATTAGTTCCTACTTTAAAATATTAATAAGACTGATTTTCTTTTTCATATAAAAGAGAAAATAATCACGTGGCATTTTATTGTTATTATTATTAAATTTTAATTATTTGAAATCTTAATAAACAATTGCATTTTATCTTGTTTTTTTTTGTGTCTCAATCCTTTGCGAATTGTCTATTTTATGAATATAGCCAATAGTCATTACATGTCAGTCAAGAGTCATTAATGGTAATGAAGATGTCATTTAGTTCCTTTAATAGTCATTACGTTCACAAGAATAAATTAAAAATTTGTGATATCTCACAAAATCCACAAGCGTAGGAAGTGCAAACATTATTAAAATGTTGATTATGTGTAGTTTATCAAATCACTGCCAACACACATCCATTATTCAAGGAAAAAAATAGGTTGATAAAAATTACGTTAAGAACGGAAACAAATTAGGATTCACCCCATAACGGACAAAAATTAATAGGTACCTATGCCTATTAATTTTTGATAGGTGTCGACTCTGGCATAAATCTCTAAACTTAAAACTAAATTTAACATCAGTCTCCTTTTTATTCATGTTTTATGAAAAGGAACAACAGTCACGATGTTGTTTCACTCTGTGAGAATAAAAAGGAGAGATAGAATTTAAATTTAGTTTAATCTAATATTTGTCAAAAACATCAATCTCTCCTTTTCATTTTTTGAAAAAAAAGGAGAAACTGATGTTAAATTTAGTTTTAAGCTTAGAGAATCGTGCCAGAGTCAACACCATTTTGTACTTATTAATATTAGACTTTTGAGTTATCCAATCCAACATTCAACCAAACAAATATTTTATTTCCAATGCTTACCATATGACATATTTGCTATTTTTGTTATTCTGACTAAATTAAAATTCACTTAAAAAATACTTAGAGTCAAATTGCATATTACCGAGTATTTAATGACTCAACCGATTTATAAATATTATATCGAGTATCTAACGGTTATCCGTCAAATCGTAGCACCACTGGACGGGAAGTGACGTTTCGTTACGAATGAACTTTTTTTTTTATTTATTTGACAATGGATACATTACGAATGAACAACAGCATATGCGTTACCAGATTGGGGGACTTTTCGCAATTCTGGGAAAAATATAGTTTTGGGGAAAAATCGGGGAAATAGTATATTTGGGGAAAATGTTGAGGAAAAACATCGGGGAATAATGGGGCTAGCATATAGCAATGAAACAAAACAAACGCCTTACAAGCCTTTGAATTACCAATTCTAGGGAGGGAGTGCAGATTGGAAGTGGCGTGCCCTGTGTGTGAGTGAACATAGTTAAAATGCTAGATCTTTATAGTAAAAGTTTTATTTCACAAACGTATAATTTTGGGGAAAATAAAAATCAGTTTGGGGAAAATTATATACTTGCATCTGGCAACCCTGAAAAGCACTACCTCTATCTAAGTAGTCTGTGGTGACAACGGCGCACTTTTTGTTTTACATTACTTCAGAGATGTAAACAAAGTTCTTTATCCAAAATTATTTACGTAGTAATAAATTAAAATTATGTAAATCACATATTTAAACCATTGAAATTATTTTTATAGTGCATAAAATTTTAAAAATTACTTGCGTAACAAATTAGCCAAATACGTCTCAGTTTGCCAGCAAACGATAGCTACTTTTTTGTTTTTGGAAAAATAAAATAAAATGTGGTCCCACTTAGAACGTGGGAGTTCACCAGTGGATTGGTGTGAATCGAATTACTCTATTTCACCATTGATAGCCGAATTCGTGAACACCGTAAGTTATAAGTTAATGGTCAAAATTACTTTTGCAATTCATGCAGTGTCACTCAATAATTCTACTACGTTTTAAAAACATAAGTCTCAATTGTACTTTTCCAGAGATGATTCGTAATAAAAAAAAATATTCTTGAGAATTTGGTGACTCATAAATTAATTGATCCAAATAGAAATGAAATTAGATAGGACAAGGTTTCTTTTTACATTATTTTTAACTTTGAAGTTTAATTAAACATTTTCACTATGACAAATTAATCAAGTCAACCTACTAAATTTAATTGTCTTCTCTGATTGTGAATGAATAAAAGCTTGGTAGTTTTAGATAACACCCTGATTCAGTTTGTTTGTGGAAAATCTATCATTCATTACTATTTTAAACAACTCTGTTTATGGCAAATTTCCATAAACAGGTACAACATCGAACCCACCCAATAGAATAGCAAAATGCCTTAAATGCCCTGCCATACCATAATAATATAGTGTGAAGCATACAATAATTAATTTTACAGGTGAGCAATGTCCTGTTCTTCCTGCTCCCACCAGTACTGATACATTTGTTTCAAGAATATGCCAAATTTGTAAATCCAGCAATCAATATCCTTTGGGTCCTCCTCATGATTGTCGGAATTAGTTCAGCATACTTTCATGCTACACTGAGCTTAGTTGGTAAGTCCTAAATCATAAGAAATAATATAAAACATATCTGAATATCAATAAGCTATTCAATCCATTTTGAATGGGTCTCCTATTAAATCACAAGTGTTATAGAAAGTCCAGTCCTATTAAAGAGAATGCAGTAAGTACTTCAACATAATTTCGAGAAAATGGCTTTTTTCTTCTTGCAACCGGCATTTCTGCAAGTCGACGTCCTATTGGCGCCGGTTTTGCATGAGGAGGGTGTATGGTCTGAATCACTCCAGCCAGCCCAGCTCTGCCAGGAACGCCCCCAGGGCCTTCACATTGGTGATTGCCTCTTGGAGGTTTCCCGGTGAGCAGAGGTATTTCACCCGGTATTGAATTGATTGATTAAGAAATGACTTTTTAAGTGAAAACTTTATCTCATAATAATGTCTGAGCTCTTACTACGTTCTCCACTAGGATGGCAGAAATATGAGAATAGGCAGATTATGAAAAATAAATTGTATTAATTTTTTGTTTACCCTAAAGAAAGACAGAATATATCCTTGAGATATATTTTGCTTGTTTCGGTTTCTTTTAAATACTTTGATCAAAAATAGTCTTGAGTTGATTACATACAAATTTACTACTGCTAATATAGATAGTAGTTATATTTATTGTGGAGATATAGATATAATGATAGAGATAAATACTGTTTGTTATGATATTAAATATTTCTTATTGTAAGATGGCAAATGTTGATTTCAGGTCAATTGTTGGATGAACTAGCTATATTGTGGGTTTTCATGGCAGCATTTGCAATGTTTTTGCCAAGAAGATATTTCCCAAAGTTTCTCAGGGGAAACAGGTAAATTTATTACTAAGAGATACCTCTAACTTATTTATGACTCAAACTCATGATATTTTCTTGCTTGCATGTCATTAAACACTATCCCCCTTATTAATAAATGAGGAATAAGCTTGGATTAGTTTGTCTATGTTTTGTCTCTGTTCATTGAAAGACAAATGGCATTAGAGTGACATAAATAAAACACGACATAACTAGTCTTAGCTTATTCCCTGTTTATTAATAGTGGGGTACATATTTAATGAAAGAAGATTTTACATCTGGGTACCTACCTGTATTAAGCTACAACTGGCTGTTTTGTAACAATCTATATAAATTTTTCCTATTATTAAATTCAACCTTGTTACACTTGTTAATTACTTCTTAACATGCATCTATTACTGTAGTTTACTCATGCCTTGTTAAAACGTTTTGTATGTTGCTAACCAGGAAAAACTAAGCACAATAAAGTGTAGTCAAAGATTTATTTTAATCAACACAATAGGTCTTTAATATATTCCAAATATGAAATTAATATACACTTGAAATGTATTGTTGTTGTGATTCATAAATCTAGGTCAACATAGTAATGTGAGGAATGATTACATTTTTTATTTTAAGTGTTCATGTTCTACATTATTATTTGGTAATCCATACTTATATTATAAATGCGAAAGTCTGTCTGTCTGTCTGTTACCTCTTTACGCCTAAACTGCTGAAGCAATTTAGATATTTTTTTATAATAGATGTAGTTTGAGTACCGGGAAAGGACATATAATGGTTTTTATCTTAGATATCATCCTTTAAAGCGCTGAAAAGGAGGGTGGAAGTTTGTATGGGAAATCGATCAAACCACGCAGAAGAAGTCTCCGGCGCCCACTAGTAATAAAATAATTTTTATTTGTATTACCCTACTATTCTTATCTTGTATTCCATGCATAGGGAAGCAGAAGGCCTACCTATGGCATCAGCAGAGGGTACATTAATAGGCTGATGATGATGAATAGTCTAATACCACAAATACATAGAAGAAATACCCAGTTACAATTTTAATATTAAATGCTAATGCCACTAGGTGGTACTGAGCACATAATTAAATTATTAACAATAGGTACTCTAAGTGCTCAAATAGTAGTTATATAAAAATGAAAATTAAATAATTGTCTTGATCAATCGAAGCACTGTTGTTACAGGAGGGTGTTGGCCTTCTACTCGAGTGTGGTCTCGGTGATGTCGACGGGCTTTCTGGTTATGCATCCAGCTGCTAATGCCTTCGCCCTTATGACCTTGGCTTTTCCCGCTATCGGATTCTTGTACAAGGAGCTGACTAGGTAAATAAACAAACAGTTATATTTAAACAAAATTTTATTTAGTGTAAAGTGGATTTTTATGTTTTCTATTAATTTGTTAAATATATAGCCTTGCAGCTTAAGGCTAGGAAAATTTCTACGCGGCCATCAGGGCATTAGTAGCATAATTGGTCAGTGCATTCGCCCGGATCGCGAAGGGTGCGGGTTCGAGTCCCGTCCGCTGCCTGGTCCGCGTGGATTTTTTTCTAGTAAAACTTTTCTTTAGATTGAAATATATAGTAGTTTCATTGTTTTATTTCTTGAGGTTTTCCTTTTAACAGTTTCCATAAAACCGGTTTATATTCATTTGCTGTAAATTCTAATATTCTATAATTACTCCAATCCATTAATTTCTCGCTAAGCGCGCGAAGTGTAGAATGTTATTGCGATAAAAGCGTTTGAAGCGCAAAAATGTAGCGACAGCGAAGCGAAAGGCATTATCACCACGATAAATATTCGTGCAGAAATAGGTAATTACTTAGCCCAGACATATTGCACCAACAAAAATATTGGCATTATCTCAATATCTGAACGGTATGATACGGTATAGTACACCTTTGTCTGCATGGGAAGTTGTGTGATGGTGCATTCTAAGTTTGTCTCTCATTCCCAGTCCATCAGACCAGCATGAGAAGAAAACTAACAAACTTATTTTTTTTCTCCCAGATATTGAAGACTGGATCAAATCGTAATAAATTTAAGATTATTGTAAAGTTCCCCAGCATATAATCTTATCTCCTATGTTTAAAACAAAGAATAAATCTAGAATCTTTGATACGTAATTATTAAAATTTTCTTTTTATAAGAATGTCTTAAGAAAACTTGTTATTATATCCCGTATTATAGAAAGATTCTCAGTAATGAGCATAGATAGAAAGGGATGTCACTATATATAGCACATAGCGACACCCCTTTCTAACTGTACTCAAGTAAAGATCAACACCGAGTTGTCATTCTGTAATACGGGCCTTAGTCGTCATTTTTATGTGAATTATCGCGAAAGTGGGTCAGGAATCTATTTGTTTGACATTGACCTTGTACCAAATGTATGTGACATGGTCAAATAATTATTTTGTCAACATGATATTGCAGTTACTCCTACTTTACTTTATTGATTGTGCTTGTGTTGACAGAAACATAAACTACCTACTAAAGTTTTAATTAGTACTGTTTATTAATATACAATGTTGATCTACTTATTTCTGAATAAAACAAGTGTTTACGGGTTAGATGCACTGATTTTATATATTTATTCAAGTTTGCAGCCTTTGCAGGAATGCGTCGTCAGAATAATGATTTTTTTTAATTAAATAATAAATAAATATTTCCAACACTCACACCGATTAGCCTAGCCTCAAAGTAAGCACTGTAAAGCTTGTGTTATGGGTTACTAGGGTAACAGATAGAATACATATATAAGTATATTTATATAGAAATGCGTTATTTAACATCCATGATTGAAGTACAAATGCTCGTATTCATTACACAAACGTCTGCCCCCACCGGGATTCGAACCCGGGACCTCTCGAGTAGGCGACACCATTAAACCCGGCGTACAAACCACTCGGCCACGGAGGTCGTCAAAATTATGTTTGTATTTACTTTTTACTTTAACCTAAGAAACAAATACTTACTTATTTCTGTATAAAGTTTCATAAGCACCTACTTGAGACACACAGAAGTTTCATAAACCAAACGTGTCCGATTTCCGGTCTGATTGTCTAAACCTCAACATTTGACAACATGTGTATCCTTGTCATTCTCTATACAGAACGTAAAGGACAGACTGATGTTAAATTTAGTTTTAAGTTAAGAGAATCATGCCAGAATCGAATACACTGTAACATTATCTAGACCGACGACACGGTAATAAAATAAAATATTATCTTTAATAGATAATATTACCGTGCCTACGAGCCCTTTCTCCATCGTAAATCTGAGATGTTTAGGTATTTGTAAGAACCAAACTAAAGAATGGATTGCGCGTACCTACCCTGAAAAGTAAAACTAATTGATAAGCGTTAAGTAAAACTGAGCAGAAGAGTGGAGATAGAAAAAGCGACAGGGTGGCCTGGCGGCCCATGGTTCATATTAGAATTGGTTGTTTTTTTGTCTTTTTCTAGAGAAATGCTAATTTCATGCGAGTATTCAATCCATCCTCTATTTCTATGGTAGTAAGATCTATAATATTTACATTGTTTAATTTCCAGAGTGAAATGCGCTCGGGTCTACCGGCTTGGCTTGCGCTGCGTCGCCGTAAGCTTTCTCGCCAAATTCTGCTGGATCATAGACAGACTATTCTGCGATGCGTGGCTCTCCATCAACTTCCCCTACTTCCATGGTCTATGGCATATCCTTATCTTCATAGCGAGTTACACGGCCCTAGTGCTCTTCGCTTATTTTCACGTTTCCGAAGAACGACCCGAACAAAAACCATTACTCAGATACTGGCCTAGGAACGATTTCGAACTAGGCATACCTTATATTACGTTCAAACATCCTTGCAAAAATGACAAAGGGCACGCTATATAAATCTTTTATGTTTAACATTTAATTTATGTGATTCGATTCGATCTCCACATTTATGAAAAAGCGATAGAGTATTTAAATATATATACACATATGTATATATGTTGTATAATAGGTTGATTTATTTGAGTGCATTTATGTAGTCGCTTAAATCGTGACAGGTGCATTATTTATTCAATGATATTAATATTAGTTACAGATTTTTATTTTTGTGACATACTGAGCTTGTGAAAATTTTGATATTCTAGTACCAATCTGTGATTTAGATTAGATTATATTATATTATTATATACTTATTTATATTTTATAATTTTTTTGTTTAATTGGTATTTTTGATGTATTTTTATTATTAGTTTTTATAACTACCTACCTACTTAGTACACGCATGTAATGCGTGTAAGTGGTTTAACTTCGTTATGCCCTCGTTTTCTATACCAATTATTTAAATATATTTTATACTTAATTTTAAAATATTAATTATCTTATGTAACCCTCAGATCAACTAAAAATCTGTTTGTATTTGATCTGAGATTAATTAAACCATCTACTTACAGTGCGACCAAGCAAGATCTTGTGGCACCTAGATGACATTGACAGGAGGACGCTGCTGGTAAATATTTGGTGAAATGAGGATTACTATGTACGTTAAATCTCTTCATCATAATCAATAATATCTCGAAAGGGTAATAGTGAATTTAAAAGACTTATTTAGACCTTTCTCTATAAATAAAAGACTTAATTTCCTAAAATTAGTTCCAATTTCGGCCACACGCCAGAAAATCTTTTTTTTTTCGTCTGTAGCTTTCTCCATTTCACACAGAAGTTTTGCCAATGTCCAGTAGTGAGAAAAGATCTTGGTTGCACTGTAGACGTAGAAATGATATTTTAATAGTTTTTTCTTTTATGATTTATGTTAGATAGACATTAAACAAAAGACAAATAAGTATTAAAATAATGTTAACAAACTCGGTTCAAAAATTCATAAAAAAAATTTCTTTGTAGGTTTTTATATCTTTCTTTTAGCAAATTGTTAATTTAGTTAACTGGAAATTATTGTTTGATATTTACTTCGTGACAATACTAGGCACTTATTTAATTACCTTCTTACAACTGCTGGATGCAAATATTATACTTCACATTCATAGATAAATGATTGGTCTCGCTTCACTCGACTAGATACCGCCGGGGTACTTGTCTAATGCGGCAACAAATACTATGCCGAAATCGACATACGCGAGCTTTCACCGAGCCAGTCAACCTGACAGTTGTGTATGGGGTGTACGTAGTGAATGTTTTATTAAAATTTGGTGTTAACCGAAAATAAAATGCCAGTTTATGTAGTGAAATAATACAACAATAAATAACAAGGACGCTGGGATCACATAACGTCAATAAGTATAATCAAATTTCGAAATTTCAATATAAAATAACATGAACCCTAAACGTCATTCAGGTGTTGCCGCGTATACAAGAATCAAGTCCCTATTTTTGAGATTTTTATTAATAATGTGAATTTATTGTTAGTGTATTTTATTATTGAACCTATGTTATTTAAACTTACTATTAAACTTGCAATGAAACTTAACTTAGTTTTATGTTATTCAACGTTTATCTTTGTAATCTACCTTTTATTCCTATGAAATTATGTTATTACTTTTAAAAACATTTTTTCAACACATTTGCTTGTAAACTGACTCATATTATTTACACAGTTTTTAGTTTTACAATTCATCTTATTAACCAACATACTTGTTGTGTATTTTTTTTAGTTCATCATATTATTTAAATTATTTTTGGGTTTAGATGACAAATACACAACTCATTTTATATTTATAAACACAAATTAAATTAACTAAAGTATTAAGAAACATTTATTTATACTTATAGTTTATCCTATTTTTATATTGCTGCTGTTCCGGCGAAAAATCGAGGCCTAAGCATTTTTTGAAGAAGAAACCTACGCCTCTTAGTTGTATAAGTACACTCAAATATTGATATATTCGCATTTAATTAAGTGCATCTTCTTCAAGTATTTTACGAGCTACATTTATAACCTGGTACATATTAATTATAACTTACAATATTTTCCCTATTACTTGGGTAGCAGTTGAGCAGCTGGCTACACGATTTATGACATTTTTTAATGTAAATTGACATACACACTACAATAATGAGTTGCCGCATATTTAAAGCTGTTGATTTTTGACAGCGCGGTATCTAGTCGATTGAAGCGAGACTAATCATTTATCTATGTTCACATGGTTATTCGTTCTAAATTTTCCCTACAAAGTAAATTTTTTATAAGACAAAGATAGAGCATGTTAATTGATAACGATATAGGTACGGTACCTGTAGCATGAGCACCACAATTTACATTATATCACGTTTTTTATCGCGTCTAACTGTCAAACTTCATAGTAATTTGACAATTGGGCGTGATAAAAACGCGTTATATATCATATCGCTGTGTTCAGGCTAGGGGGCTGGTGTAATATTTAGTAAAATATGGCAAATAAAATTATACGAATAGCCTTAATAATGCGTCAAGTGAATTTGTTTGGTATTTTATCAAACAAGCAAAATTGGTACAAATATATTTTTTAATCAGTAACGTAGGTACTTAAAAGTAATATTTCTTTACTGTTCTAGTATAAGAATTAGCGTTCATATAATGTTTGTTGTATATTAAAAGACATAAGGAAAGATACCCTATGCTGTGCCAACATTGACACGTTCTTATTTAAACTATTGAAAAACATGTGTTTTTTTATGTGTAATATTTATATAGGTACTGAAATACTAGTGTAATTTTTATGAAATAAATAGATAATGAAATTGATAAGTTGTATTAATTTAAGGCATTGTAATATAATTTACTAAAAGAAGAAATAAAATTATCTAAAACTAGACTGCATAAACATCGCGCGCGTGATTCGAAAATGTTAGAACTCCCTAAAATCTTTACTTCTCATATCAAACTTATTTGGTCTGAGCTTAAAGGAAGGGAAAAAAATCTACATAATTATATTAAAAACCGTGGTACACGTATGCTTTTTGACATTTCTAGAGGAATCTACATTTTTTAGGATCACTTTGTTGTCCGTCCGTCCGTACGTCCGTCTGTCGAGACTGTTTTTCTTAGGAACGCGTGGAGGTATCAAACTGAAATTCATGTCTAATACTCAGGTGTACTGTCCCTTGGAGCTATGAAAAAATCAAACTTCTAAGCCAAAGCAATCAATAGATGAAAGAGAAGAAGAGAGACAGCCGTTTATGCCGCAAATTTTCAAAACTCGCACGGGAATAAAAACCTACTGGGTACTTCCCGTGATTAGATTAGAATCTTGAACGAAGTAACGTCTTATAGTACAGATAAAGGAAAAATTGCGAAATCCGTAAATTTTTAGTTACATCATGTAATATTTTTTTCAATTATAAAAATATACCTACAGGTTTGTACGGAACCCTCGGTGCGCGAGTCCGACTCGCACTTAACCGTTTTTTTTCTGCGATATGTCTAACAGTATCACCAGTGACAATTCCCATGCGATTATAGATCTTATATCAAGTGGATTAAAGATCAAAGCCAGTTGGAGCAATTGTGTTTAAAAAAACGCAAAATGTTATTACCTCCGCGGTAAGTATTATTTAAAGACTGTGCAATAATATCCAAAAGGCGTAGCAAACACCTAGGTTGGTCATTACACCATGATCCAAACTCCACACAGCTATTATCTAGGTACGTGGAACAGTGTAGGTACTAAGTAAAAAAGACTTAGAAATTGCCCCTGTTCCATATATCCCTACTAACAATCTCCACTTGTAGGGATACTTGGAGTTCTTTTTCATTTAACGCTACCAGTTGGGATATAAGGAACTTTCTATTACATATATCCCTACTGATCCGCACTGGTAAGTGATAATTGGATATTTTTTCCCATTTATCGCTACCAGTATAGATAAGTTTGCAAAGTTTTTTTTTATGATTTACCCTTCGTTTTGTTGATCGAAGGATTAACTAGTTGTTCCTTAATTACATACTTGTGATAGTGAATATTTCTTAAGTTCTCATTTTAGTTTCCCATAAAAAATCACTACTCCGAAAAGTACCTAATACCAATGGCTAAGAGATTCTGATTATGAAACAGTGAAAAAAAGGTCTTATTCAGAACCAGTTATTAAAAAAAACTTTATTTATATTCATGGCTACGTATCCTTTTTTTGTTGGCACAGCTGGCGCTATGCCGGTCAGCGACCTCTCCTACCCGTTCTCCTTTGGCGGGAGGGAGCGGCCAAAGGATCATCCAAGCGCCGCAATGAGCTCGCGGCGCTGGTGTAGCCAGGCCGGTACTCAAAAAGGTGTGCTCGGCCGTGACGTACGACACTGTGCAGATAGTGACCGAAGCATCCATGCCCGGTCAAGATCTGCACCATGCGGAACGCGAGGCCGACCCAACCACTCCTCCAACACCGGACGAATGGCCTCAATCGTCCGGTGGCCGGCGCTAGCATGGGCGAGTGCCTCATCCCGATCCCTGGCTTAGACCCGACCTCGATGCATTTCTGCCAGAACCTGTGCATCAAGGTCCCACGGCGTCACACCTGCGAGCACGCAGGCGGCGCCGTGGCTGACCGTGCGGTACGCTTGCACTGCCCGGGTATGTATGGTATCCTGGTACTTTTCAGAATAATGATTTTTATATGGGAAACTAAAATGAGAACATTAAGGGTAGGTCCAAACCATAAGCGTATTATTCCTCAATGATAATATATCCACATTCACCTAGGCGAACCAAGGGTCAGGACAAGTCTCCGGAGTCCAGGTGAACTTATTAGGTTAAGTGTAAAAAACGGTATGGAAGCTTTGATCAATTGTTGATCGAAGTATGGAAGTAGTTTTAAATTTTAAAAAAATGCATACCTTCTTTTGTCACATTGTTACAATATCATCGTAAGTATTATTGAAGTGAAACTTCTTTATCGGCGTTGGAAAAAAATTTACCGTCACATTTTTTGGTTACGCGCCATCTTTTTTTTAAAAGAGCACTATTTACCTCATCCGAACAATTGCTTCTTTTGTCAACTTTAAAAAAAAAAAGTATCGACAGCAAATATTCGTGTTTCACACAAGGTAAGGTAAGGTGTAGTTATACCCCTTTAGTGGGTGAGTTTTTGAAAAATCTTAGCGCACGCCTATATATATATTTCTGGAAAGTTGCATGTATATCATTTTTCGAAAAAAATAAGGCCATAAAGAAGTTTCACTTCTTACGTGTGTACACTAGTAAGAAAGAAAGAAAGAAAAACATTTATTGACGACATACATTGACAATTACAATAAATACACAACAAACATAAAACAAAAGGTACATCGTCAACTAGGCCCCACCTCAGCATAATGTTGCAACGGCAAAAAATGGATTGCCGCTGCAACGCTGATATTCTGGAGGGACCTAATTTGGACATCACGGACGGAAATACAAGACAATCACTTAATACATAAAACAAAAACAAAAAACAATCTGTACCTCGTATCCCTCGCCCATAGCAGTCCAGCACAAAACAAAAAATGAAAAATAATAATAACACAAGAGGCTGTGTGGGCTCGGCTCTTTGCCTATGAAAATTTGGTACACGCACACATTTTTTATATTACTAATCTCATCTTTATTTATTTCAAATAAGTGTGCTTTCCTACTTGTGTAAGCACCACGTGCAGCCTTGTTTCAAAGTCAGCTGTTTTAATATAGGGACGAACATAACTCGTAGTGCCCGCGTGTAACCCTTGGCCCTCACCCCAATGACAAGCATTGAGATAAATATTACGTAACAAAACTGTGCTATAGCTGTTAAATCTAAACATACCTACTTCATATTTTCGATATAGGTGAATTATTTTAGTAGGTACTTATACCTACCTATTAGTTATCTCTTATCTATTAGACAAGTCCGTCTGTCTGTGGTGCTGTTTCAGCGGCCAAACCGTAAGAGATAGATAAAGAGAATATTTAAGTTATAAGTTAAGAATAGTCTGATAAGACTACAAACCGGATTTGAGTAACGTAGCACTTCCGGTTTTCGAGAAATCAGGTTTTGGTGAACATTTTGTTCACTGGTTTGCTAGTTTATTAATAACAGAACCATTTTAATGATGGATCAACAGTATGATTTTTTCACAACATTTATTCAATGTCATTTTAAATACACTTCTGCAGGGGAAGGGAAGTAAAGCTCATTAGAAATTAGCCACATATCAACATAAAAGGTAAGTTCTTAAAGGAGTAAAGAAAGGAAAGTGTCAATTAGCAAACATGGAATGATTTATAATTATAACAAATACAAAATACATTTCTTACAAAACTACTTTTTTATCATTAAACATTGAATATAGTCTTTGAATGTCAAATTATAAAAATATTGAGATTATGCAATAATCAGTCTGAGTCTGAGGAGACATTGTGATTGTTATGATGAAGACTGGAACTGTCAAACTTCTTCCTGGGGTAAGTGGAGCCCCCACGATATACAACATGATTCTTTTCTGTCTCCAGAATCTTTACTTCATGCAACAGTTGAGGTTTTTCCATAATTTTTTGCAGTTGGTCCCATATAAATATAGCCAAATTTTCTGTTGTGCTGACCTGAAATTTTAATAACAAAATAAATTGATTTTACATTCAATCTTAATCAATGTAATATAATTAAAAAATTCAAATAAATAGGTTTTACATTATTACACATATAATACTACCTAACACACACAAATTAATACAGTAAATTGATTAGACCATCAAAAACTAGAACTCAAATTACACAAGTAATTAACACTTATAAATTGTGCAACATACACAAAACAGAATACTGATTTCTTACCACTGTTTTAAAGTATGGGACATCTTGATCTAAATTTTTGTGGTCTAAAGGATCCATGATAGCAGCCTGCATGTACTGTTTCAAATCATGAACATTCATGACCATCCCAGTGTGTTGATCTACAGGGCCTTTCACTGTAACCAATACTGCAAAAAAAATGTTAGATACTGGCACTCAGTATTTGAATAAAGTTAGGGAGAATACTAAGGAAACAACATACCAACATAATTGTGTCCATGTCCGTTTGGATTATTACATTTTCCAAACAATTTCTTGTTTTCTTCATCACTTAAAAATGGACTGTAAAAAATTGTTTACATTAAATTAAAATGCTCAGTTAAAGTAAGCAACTTTTTTACATGTTACTTACAAAAATAAGATTATAGTTTAGGTGTGTAAAGTTTGTTTTCAATAGATCAGAATTTTCAAAGTTAACCAGAAATCGTGTTCTTTACTTTTATTACCACCTACCTGTGTAATCGGTGACATGAACTAAACGTCTCTCGTCTGGTGATAGATACTATAGGTAATGCCATTTAAATAGAGTTAAACTATCGTCTTGAATAATCAAGACAATGTGTGACCTACGAGAATAAAATTTTATCAAAGGAAAAAGTAAAGTTAGGTATTTTTTTACGAACGTCGAACAAAACCCTCTACTAGCAAGAGTACTAAACTGGTCATCACAAATTAAGCCCGTTTTGACATTTGTAACTAGTGATGTACTATACGACTCGGTACACGATACTCACGATAAATCGATTCAAGCTTGTTTAAGTATTGTAAAGTGCATTTGATTTAAGTTCTGATTTGAAAATTTAACTTAATCTTTAATATTGTAGGTAATTTGAAATGATACAATGGTAAGAAAGGTCAATTTGTCTTTAATTTAAAAATTTTGGTTATAATAACATTCGCTCAGTCACAAAAAATCAAGAAAAGCGAAAGTGATTCTTAAATTAATAATTTTCTTCTGATGATGAATTGATTCTTAAATCAATAATTTTAACATACTAATTTCGAAATCACAAATGCCAAGCCGACTTATGTACTTAGTGAATAAGGACACTATAATTTTAAAGAATAGGACATATAGGTAGTTCCTAATGATAATTAAAAAGTTAATTAATTTTACTAAATCGTTTAAAGATTCTGCCAAATAACGTTTTTTATGTTAAAAAATGTATATTTAATGTGTTTAAACATGAAATAAAAAGTTTACGGAACCATATTGTATAGTATGATTTTGTAAAATTTTAATACTACGCCCCAAAATTACCGATTCGATAAATTTTATGACAAACTGCGCGTCTCTAATGACATTGTAGAACAATATTTTTTTTTTCAAGTTTAGAGCTAATTTCGAAAACGAAACTTCATGGGCGCACAAATGTCAAAACGGGCCTATTATTTAGTGATGACTTTAAACTATACTAAACTTTTCCTTTTTTTATTTATTTATTGGCAATGGATGTACTAAACCTTTCAATGCCAACAAGGATTGCCAACCTTAGATTTTTTCAACTTGTACATAAGCAGCTAAAAATCTCGTATTTTAGCTTTTGAACCTCGTACATTCTTTTTTTTTATTCCTTGAACGTGATGATTAAGCCAACTAACTAAGGATACGGCCAAAGTGCACGCAGGTTCAGAATCAGATTCAGACTCAGAAAACAAGCGCGAGGAATAAACAGTGTAGTTTAAGCAGGGTGGCCATAGTGGCAGCAGGCAACCTGCTTAAACTACACTGTTCATTTCTCGCGCTTGTTTTCTGAGTCTTAATCTGAATCTGCGTGCACTCTGGCCGTACCCTAACATAATAAGACTTCATCTGTTTTTCAACTAGGGGATTCCCGTTGCATAGTAAACACAACGAAATGAATGACGCATTGGTGTCGATTCTGACAGGATTCTCTAAACTTAAAACTAAATTTAACATCAGTCTGTCCTTTTCATTCTGTATAGAGAATGACAAAGATACAATGATGTCGATTCTGGCATGATTCTCTAAAGCTAAACTTAAATTTGACAACAGTGCATCTCTGTCATTCTCTATACAGAATGAAAAGGAGAGACTGATGTTAAATTTAGTTTTAAGTTTAGAGAATCACGCTAGAATCGACACCACTGTTGTCAAATTTAAGTTTAGCTTTAGAGAATCATGCCAGAATCTATATCATAGACTAGTTAAAATAGTGTTTGAATGACAGTGAAGTAGCCGTTACCCTAGTATCCCATAACACAAGCCTACAGAAATCAAGTGAGATTTATTCAAAGCCTCATGGCCTTGAATTTATAATTCGTGATCTCATGATCAATTTGATACGATCATGCATCGATTCTCAGTGCGACGATTATAATGATACATAACATCGATTTAATGTACTAGATCGAGCATCCCTAACCATATTTTATCTGTCACTTGATTTTTTTTTGTAATATTCTTTTTTTATAGGAAAAAAGGGGCTACCGACTTTATACAGCTTTATCTTGTAGATTTTGTTTTTTCGATTTTTTTTTTGTACTAAATTTATCCAGCCAGCTTTCTCGATAAACTTCTGTAAGGCAGTAACAAAGTTCTTACGTCAACTTAACGGAAATAACGTATATTTTAAAAACTCCACTAATTCTTCAGACCGTTGTTAATGTTATCGAAAAGCAAACTATTTTTATATCATATTAAGTATCCACTATAAACGAATCAGCGAATCAATAAATTAGGACGCCAAGCGCACTCGATGAATTCGCGCTAAAAATCTCATCAAAATATAATAATACTAATATATTAATTGAATATGAGAAGTGCTAACATTATTGGCTTGTTGGCGTAAGGGTCAAGTCAAGTGGCGAGTAATTTAGATGGAACTAAGTTAATATGTACCAACTATCGTCGTCACGCGCGTCGCCGGCGCCGAAGGCGTCGCGGCGTGCGGGGAGTCCATTCGGGCCTGATCCACTGTGGAGGTAGCGGGTTCGAGTCCCGTTAACGAGCGGGACTGTCCTTGGGGTCGAACCCCCCTCTCTACGGCTTCACTCGTCGCGGTCAAGCCCACCACGTGAGACCCATGTGGGAGGCCCAGTGAGCGAGCGGGCGACGGACTTTGGCGTGAGTAGCTAGTAGCGAGACAGCTAAGACACTTTCGAACAGGCTTTCGAATCTAATGTCCTACTTATAATATAAGGCATACTTCTTAAGGCATATATCAATATGAATATTTGTTACCCTAACAAATCCTAACAATGTTAGGTACCTACCCAATGACTAAAAAACTGTTGGACAGATTTTGATAAAACTTGTACCTATATAGGTACAATATGCAAAATAACCCCACCAGATATTAACTATGAGCGAAGTTCAGCAGCGAAAATAACTGATGTGGCACCGGTGTGCCAAACGATAAATATTTGTATATTTGCTCTCTGATGTATCACCGCTTATAGGAAGATTGTGACCCCTCCCCCCAAGAATTTGAATTAGAAGGTCAATATTTGCATATTACAGGGAAACAGAATCTATAACATAAATATATAGGTATTATTACAACATTCACACAAACATACACCCACACGCGCGCGCGCACACACAGGCTTTTGCATACAAACACACATACAAGCAAGTGGTACCGAGGTAGACAAGCGGGTGGGACCTGGAGTCCTGAAATACAAGGTCCCTCTAATTCTAGTTGAACAGGTTTACTGACCTGTATAAACCCATTTATACCCACTAAATGTAGCGTAACTAGTGGCCCTTTTGACGAGTAAAATTGTAATTTTTTTAAAAAGTCACATTTGTGATATCAAGCTCTTTTTCAATGAAATGAAATGGGGTTTTTAAGTTTATTTAATGTGCTTTTTAATGACACCAACATTGGTGGGGGTACATAGTTCTTCCTTCATGGTTTGCAGTTGCTGAAAATAGATATCTGCCGTTATCGTTTGGCCAGATTTTAGAAAGCTGTAGTGAACGACACCAGCGCTAGTCCACCAAACACTCACAAGTAACTTTTTCTGAGTCAATTTTCGTTTAGGGCAGGATTTGGCTGGGTCTCCAGATTTCAGCCATTGCGATGAGCGCTTTCAATAATCGTACAGTATTCACTTTTCATCACAAGTAATGATTCTATTTAAAATTCCTTCATTATTGTATCGGTTGAGTAAAGTAACACAGCAGTCGACGCGTGTTTGCAAGTTTGATTCACTCAATTTATGAGGTACCCATCGTTCAAGTTTTTTTACTTTCCCGATTTGCTTCAAGTTCAAGTGGATTAATAGTTTTGTGACTTACCCCGAAGCCTGCAGATATCTCTGAAGTGCTTTGTGATGGATCCGCTTCCGCAATAGCCACTCCGGCCGTCCACGGGGTTGGTTCTGAAGGTCGAAATTTCCAGAACGAAAACGTTGAAACCAAAAACGTACCGTGCTTTCTTTTGCGATACCAGCGCAGTACACATCATTAATCCTTCGAGCTGTTTCTGCAGCACTGGTACTACGGTAGAACTCGTGCCTACTCGGAAATATACCGAAATTTCATGTTTTCCATTGTGCGGTAATAAGCGACGCCAAAGAAAAAAATAATGAGGAAACAAACAATGGAATGACTGTTTTAAAAACTCAAATGTTTATGGCGGTACGCAGTTCACTGGGATAGCTAGTGAATTTATAAATATGAATTTGGGATTGTTATCCAAAGAGGAGATATTGCAGAGCAAAGTGGTCAGTAAGACAAAACGCTAATTTCATATCAATGGTCCAATGATTAGGACTAAGTGCGGAAACCGCCCTGAAAAACTAAACATATTATTGTCCATTATTGTCCGCTGTAAAGAAAAAAGCCGTATGTGCGTCGCAAACTTTGATGAGTGCACCGCGGCAAAGGGCAGAAATTTGCCGAAGAAGTTTGCCTACTGACATATCTCCACTAGTAGGGATACTTAGTTTTTTTCAATTTATCGCTACCAGTTGGGATGTATATGGAACTTTTTATTTCACATATCTGGTAGGGATAATTGAATATTATTTTCCATTTATCGCTACCGTTAGGGATAAGTTTTTAAAGATTTCTTAATTAACATTAAAATAAAGTAAAGTCGCAATAACAATTATAATATAAAAAAATGCCATACTGAATTACCTACTGTTTAAAACATATCTTTATTAGTGTCAACCAACGATATTTAAAATACCATAGATACACCACGTGTGCCTCTAAATGTGTCCCAATCAAGCAGTGCTTGAACCATAGAGGTATAACAATAGAGTAGGGGAGATATAGACTCTACTACAAGTGGAAGTATCTCCTCTAATAGAAAGAGAAAGAAGATGAGAGACAGCTAGCTTTCTCTCTCTAATCGCGCATGCGCATTGGCAACCGTAAGCATCTTACTATTTCGAAGTGATGCCATTGGATGCTATACGTCACAAGAGACGGAGATAGCTAGCGGTCTCTCATCTTTTTTCTCTTTCTACTAGAGGGACACTTTTATCTCTATGGCTTGAACACGACTCGAGCACTTCTTGGTTCACACAGTTAGGCGCAGACCGTTGAAAAGTCAAGTTGCCGCAGAGCTCCGTGAAAAAATGCGAAAAAAATAATTTTAGTATCTATGTAAAGTGTCGTTTTTTCGACACGTTTCGATCTATCAATGTTTGTTAATTAAACGGATTTGAATCAAAATTTGTTCTTTTACTTACTATAAACTGACTTAATAGACAATATTTGTGATATTCAAATGCATGGTTAGTAATATAGCCGTCTCTTTTCCTCCCAGTCTGTACCTGCTATATTGCTAACAGCCCATTTAGAATTGCGCGTAGAGACAAAGAAATAAGGTCTATATTCTTCCGCGTATACCAATAAGTCGTAAATTTTTACGAGCTTGCATTTCGAACTGTCATAAATCTTTGACACATGCGTTTTAATTAAGACCTTATACAGTTTGTATTAAAGGTGACTTTCAATGTTTAAATAATGCCTTATATAGTTTTTGACAAAGCGATCACCTTACGGACCTCTGTGAATCGCCAAATGTTCCTTTTGGACTGGTTTCAACCACGATTTTAATAATAATAATGTTTATTGTCATTTTACTTTTTACAATTTATGTTTGATTCCCCTGTATTCCAAAATAGGCCTTAGCGTGTAGTATGGAATCCAGTGTCTTCTCCAATTAGGTATTTACTTACAATATAATCTTAGCAGATGTACTGGGCATAACAAAACATTACTATTTTTCTTCACAGTAAAATAAATAGAAAAAATTACTAAATTATATATATGTGTGTATAGTGAGTGTGGGTGTAGGTGTGCTTGCGTGTGTGTGTGTGTCTGTGTGTGTGTGTCTGTGTGTGTGTGCCTGGGTGTTGCGTGTGTATGTAGGTGCGTCTTGTCTTGAACCACATAAATATCAAGTAATAATTTATAAACACTGTGCTATACTTCCTATATCCGGGTGTTGTCAATCAGTAGATCCTCCACACCATCATAATCTATGTCGAACAGCCAATCATTAATATTTTTTTTAAGCTAAAATTACTACATTTTTTTATCTTTTTAATGTTATTTAATTTGTTGTAAAGTCGTGGTGCCATATATGTATATTGACAACGTGCAAATTGACTTTTGACTGAGGGGATATGACAGCGATCCCTCCTAGTAAGATCATTAGGTAGCTGTGGGATAACATAACGGTGGTATCTGCAAATACATTCAAAAATATAAAGTTTTCTTACAGAAAGTACTTTGAATAATTTGTAAATGTCTGTTGTAGGATGTCTGTAAGAGAGAAACACGACTACTTTTAAAATTGGTCGTTGTGCTCGTTCTGCCATAATTAGGTGAGTTTTTGCTGCACCACCCCACACTGGTATGCAATATCTAATTATACTCTCACACAAGGCTTGATAAATTTGTTTTAGGAGCTGCAGATTGGCAACATTCCTAAGATTTTTAAATACTTTGTTTGTGATGATTAGTTCGTGAGGGTATTTAATATCGTTGGTGTCAACACAAAATTTAAAATTGTACTTCCATACAGTTTTTTACCCTAACCTAACAAGTTCACATGGGTGGACTCCGGAGACTTGTCCTGCCTAGGTGGACCACGGATATATGTATTATCATTGAGGAATAATACGCCTATGGGTTGTTTTAACCTTAATGTTCTAATTTTTGTTTTCCATATAAAAATCCTTATTTCGAAAAATGGCTAAGAGGTTCTGTTTATCAAAATGGAAATCAATAAAGTATTTTTAACCGACTTCAAAAAAGGACGAGGTTCTATATCTCTATCGACTGTTTTTTTAATGTATGTTCACCGATATCTCCGTTAATTGTGGACCGATTTCCAAAATTATTTTTTTATTCGAAAGAGTGCACTTCCAAGGTGGTCCCATTGGAACTAAGTCAGAATCCGGGGAAATCGAGGGAATCCTTCATATTTCAAAGGCACGCACGATGTTTTTTTATGCATGTTCACCGATTTCTCTGTCAATTGTGTTTTTGTTTACTTGGACGATGTAATTTTCACTAAAATGGATGAAATAAAAAAAAAATAAACAAAAAATAAAACCGACTGCAAAATCGAAAATGGAACTAAAAAGTAAATAATAATATCTGGTTCATGATTTGAAAGTCGGGCGGGGTCAACATTGAAACATTAAATAGATTTTCGTTTCTGATCGGTAATAATACGTCTTTCAATCTTGACCCGCTCGACTTCCAAAACATAAACCAGTTATTATTTTTTACTTTTTAGTTCCATTTCCGATTTTGAAGTCGGTTTTTTTTTTGTTTAAATTTTTAAAAAAACTGGTTCTGAATATTTTTTCTTTTTCACTGTTTCATAATCGGAACCTCTTAGCCAAGTATGGTCTCCTGGCTTCTAAGCTAAAATTTTTTTTTTTTATTATTATTATCCCTGTCAGTGAGGATCAGTAGAGATATATGGAATAGAAAGTTCCATACATCCCAACTGGTAGCGATAAAAGGTAAAAAAACTCCAAGTATCCTTACTAGTGGAGATTCATCAATTGGGATATATGGAACAGGGAGAAATTTGCTTTTATTTTATTTTATAATTTTAGAAGATTTTTCAATTTGACGTGCACAAATGAGGAAGGAGAGGGGGTCCACTGTGAACCATTGAACCTTACTCACCTACAGTAACACAAGACTAGCAAAAGGTTGTTACTACCAAAGTTATAGTTTTCCAACCTACGGAAAGGATTCCACATATGGTTCACGGTTTTTTGGGCGCTTGTAAAGTTACAGCAAAATACATAACTACATCAAAATATCATGCGAATTACGGACACGTTCATTGCTCATGCATGCATGGCTTCCTAGAATTTAATAATACTCAACGATAATAGTAACTGCCAGTCAATCAAATATGTAATCAAAATTTCACGTGTGTAATCCCAGTATGTTAATTTTAAAAGTTATTTTTGGTTTCAATTAGCAACTTCCTTTTAATCTATCTACAATGGACAACAGTACATATCCCGGTAATTATTCTGACTACGTTTAAAAACCGTGCCCTACTACAGCTATTAAAACATTATTGTAATTTTCAGACAACAGTAACAGCTATGAATTCGCTACAAATGCAAACCAAGAATTAGATTTCGTTGATCATTGGGCGAATTTTACAATAGAAGAAGAGATACTACGAGGCAAAAAGATTCGAGATGAAAAAAGTAGAACCTGTGTCCCTCAAACAGAATGTAAACTGGTGGATATTCATAATTCCAAAACATCTTACAGGTGAGATGCACTCTATAAGTAAAAAATAAAAAAAAACCTTGTACGGAATAATTAATGAAGTACTTATGAGCACTTAAGTAGCAGTCTGCATATATGCTATGATGGATCAACCCCTAAAAACGAGTATAACAAATGACTTGATTTTGAGCTTAACTGCTTTTACATTAGTAGGTAATCAGAATTTAGAATGCTTACACGTATTTTATTACTTACACTTATTACACGTACTTAAATTACAAAGTAACATTTTTAAAATCTATGCGATTAGAATCCTATGGCTGGCTATCAAGGTTTACACACAGGAGAAATCTGTTTGCCCGTAGCAAATACTAAGTACTTACCTGATTTCCTTAACTGTAAAAAGAGCTACGTATCTAAGCTGCTTACTACTATTCTAGAGCGAAATCTAGTTCAAGATGTCGGACACGTCAGCCTTCTAACTGCTACAATTCTCAAGCTTTCTGCTCTTCACCTCGTTCTCCCAGTATTAAAGTTAAATGCGCTCCGAGATGTCCTTTGAGAATTGCCGAGCTAGCTGTACCAACTAAGAGGCAATGCATCGAGACATGGCGAACTAAATGCGACATACTGCCACCGTTTATGGTATGATTATAGAATAGTTTTTCGATAATTCATTGTTATTAATTAAACGCATGCCACATTGCGAGCAAAGTTAATAGCGAAAAGAAGCTAAACTTTAGCTTCTTTCTTATGTCCCCTATGAAAACGTAGCAAAAAAAGTGGGAATCTTCTGGAAACGGATAATTTAATAAATAATGTACAAGAGAGTCAGCGCTTCATTTCTCTGGGAACATAGAATTTGCGTGCTCGTAAGTTCTCTTTGTTTTGTTGGTGTAATTTAACACTGTAATACGGGGTCTAAGTTTAACGCTTTTATAAAAGCCGTTGGAAGAACATGAGGGAAATAGTTATAGGAGTAGTTGAATTCAGCAGGTGTGTAATCGATGCCACGACCAAGTTAAGTTCATCTTTACTTATATCATGTTATGAATAAGTTGAATCCCCGTTTAGTCCAACGAATCGACAGAATATAATTTTCATTTAGGTTGAGAGGTTAAAGCAACAGGTAATGGATGAAAGGCCAATAGTACATATAACGGATGCAGTAAATTGTTTCAAGAGAGCGACATCTAAATCTACAAAAACATTTCGGAGGTGAGCAGCTTTTTTTTATCTTTGTAGATACCGCACTCGGTTCTGTAACAAAGGTATGACGGCCCTAATGCAAAAGCCGTTAATTTATACGTTTAGTTATTTATTTTTTTGTAATAATTTTATCAAGACGAGATTATAGTTCTAGCTTCTTTATATCTGCTGCTGTATTGCGTGCATGCAATGGCATGAAAGACCGCAGAACAATATCCACGTTGCTTCCACGCTCTCGGCACCGCGTCGCAATAATTCAGACAGACATCAGACGTCCATATTAGATGTTTTGATCCTGAAGTATGTACTGACACAGGTCAAGTGTTCGTGTAGGTACTTTGCACAGTCAATCGTCACTTCGATTTTACTACATTTATTTATAAATACCAAACGTACTGAGTCTACACGCCAGAAGTGAGTAGCAAAAGCATGTAAATGCTAATGATAATTAACATATAAGTAACATAGTAGAGTTACCTACCTGAATTACCATTTTTCAGACACAAAATGCCCGTTCTCGATAGCAAACTAAAGAACGAAAGAATGCTAGAGTTGAGTCAGCTATGCGCTATCTTTGGAAAGAAAATTGCGCAAAAGTTGATCACTCCTCAAAACATAAAATTAAACCCTGAGTAAGACTTATTTTAAATAAAATATTCTAAATACATACATTTCCCAATTTCACTGCTATGTAGTAATTTTATATTATTATAGGATAATGTCCAAATATGATTTTTAGTGACCATTTATAAATTTTACAGACTGGACAAAATCTCAAAAATTGTTGCGGATGAGCTGGCACATATTATGAGAAGTGGAAACATTGGTAAACGCAGCATTAATGATAAAATGGATGCCGAAATATCTGCTAAGGTATTTGTAAAAGTAAATTGAATCTTGGTAAATTATTTAAGATTGACGATCTATTAATGTTTATCTGATATATCGATCAAACTACATGAACATGGAGAGAAAAATAAACTATTGATCCCTATCGAAAACTATTACATTATGCCTAAAAATGGAAGACAACAGGTTTCTCTAAATAACATGCAACGAAAGAATATTACTTAGTTACCTATTTTGTTCTATTACTATTTATAATATTTTCTACAGATAGCAGTTTGGATTGCAACAGTATTGCAAGACACGTCATACAAACTATTAGAAGAAAATTTAAAAGGTACCTATTTTATTTGGACTTCGAAAATCACATTTTTATTGTTTAATTTAATATGGTATGACTTACTGCGATATAATATATATAATGTAATCTCTAATGTACGCACTACGTTTGGAACTTAAAAAAATGTCAATAAGGTTATTTTTAAAATATCGTCACAATTACAGAGTTAGAGGAAGAAGAAGGGCCTGTATTGGATTTCATCGACGATGTCATTGAAAGTGTTATGGTAAGGAGCCTAATGTACCGACAGAACATTCATGTATTCCTTAGATTAAAACAAAAAGGGAAGATACGGTACACCCATACTTGCATCAAATAAAATATCATCCGACTCAACTACATAAACAACTCTCACACATGCACTTTTGTAAATAAACATTCAATCGAGCGAACGAAACAGAACTGTACGCTTCAACGCAGCGCAAGCGAAACGGCGAGTCCGCATCGTATGGCAACCGACTGTGTTTTCTTTTCTCTCTCTACAAACGGCAGAGCTGTATTGTTGTCCTTTTTCTGATAACAAATGGCGAATCAGTAAATAACATTCCTGACAAACTGTGATATTTGAAAAAAAAAAAAAAAAAAGTTTTTATAGTTTAACGAATGAAAAGTGTTGCCGTGGAATTTGTTCTTTGATCTTGAACCATTTGTGTTCTTTTTAAAAGCATTGAAGGCATTGTTTCATCTTTGTAACACAGAATTTATGCAATATTGTTATATCGAGTGCACATGCAGTGTGTTTGGATGTAAAATTGTGTCTGAATCAAATTGTGTTCATGCACCACAATTTAAGCGGTACACTTTTGAGCCGCAAGTGCCGTATCTTCCCTTTTTGTTTAAATGAAAGATGCATTCTCTAAGATTTTTATTTGCGTATTAAAGGACATGGTTCAAATTTGCATGGAGGGTGGTAGTGAGTTTGCAGCAGACTCCAAATTTTTATGAGATGTAGTGCACTTAATTGTTAATCGTTTGATCAAAAACTAGAATTTATTGTAACCCCGACTTTTAATAAATGTTATAGAATAAAATTATATAATTATTGATTGGCAAATGGCAAGTGTATTTATATTTTTTTTTGTTACCAAATCATCAAATATATTCTATTCAATAAGTGACTAAACTACAGATGGAGCTCGATGGCGCAAGTGGTTAGCGCGTTCCGCAGCGATCGTTGAATTTCGCAGTGGTCGGTCATTGGATGGGTGACCATAATTTACTATCTCGAGCTCCTCCGTGCTTCGGAAGGCACTTTAAGCCGTTGGTCCCGGCTGCATCTGCAGTCGTTAGCACCCACCAACCCGCACTGGGCCCGCGTGGTGGGTCATGGCCCAATCTCCCTATTCCATCCATAGGGAAGCCTGTGCCCCAGCAGTGGGGAAATTAATAGGCTGATGATGAAGTGACTAAAACAGGGATAATTATTCTGTTCATCTTTCATTACATTATTAGGTATTTTATTTCAAGAAGAATCAATCATAAATTTGTATAATAACTTCACCACGATTTCATGAATATCAACCATGGACTGATTGACATTTGCCATAGTGATTGAGTCGACGTTATAAGCTGCCACACACTAAAAACATAATGTTGGTGGCCAGCATTTGTTAAAATTTTATACACGATTAAAAATTAGGCGGACATAAATAAAAAAAAATGTATCTGATAATGTTATATTCAAAAACAAGCTTTCAAATTATATATGTTTCGTCGCTGCCGGAAACCGACTACCACTTTTGAACCGTCTCCTTTTTAGTATTATATAACAAATACGTTTCAGAATATATGCAGCCCGCAAACCAAAGATGTCGTTCAAGAAGATTATTCAGAGAAATCATCACATAAAAGCGGTGAGGATCGAGATATGAGCGTCGATATATCATTAGATCCTTTAAAAAATATTGAACTCGATATGTCACCTACTTACGAAAATATAACTTCGGAATCTGGAGACATAATAGTCAAGGAAGGCAACGATAGTACAATAGCTACAGGGCTAATGCATGATGAAATTAATAGAATCTTAGATAACATCGTCCGAAATGCTTCTGATAAAGATGAACCAAAAATAGAACAAGTTGATAAAAATCAATCTAGCGATTTAGTTGCTGAACCGGGTGTTGAGATTGAGCTTGTAGACAATCAGGAAATCAGTAGTATAGTTGTTAAAGAAAGTGTAAGCAACAATTCACAAATACTAGTAGATAAAGAGAGTGTTAATAAAATTCATAATATAATGGAAGACCTCGAAGGTAATACACAAGTAGCAGAAAAATCTGATGAAGAAACTATTAATGCTTCTGAAGTGATTCGTATAGAACATAATACTCCAGCTTCGGAAGGTACTAATCTTGAATCCGATAACATAAATGCTATAGACGATTTGGAGCAATCGAAGGCAGAAAATAAAGTGAGTGACGTATTTGGCATGGTATTTGCTGAAGAATCTCATGATGACAAGAATAAAAAAGTCCAATTTTCAGATATCCATTTGGGTAACTTATTTTAGTTAGCTTTCACATAGTAAAGTATAATAGTATCAGTATCTTTCATCCAACAAGTGCAAAGGATATGAAATGCACTATAATTAAGAGCTGTTTTTTCTGTGAAAATGAGAAGCGATATAAAAATGTGGGTTTATAAGTAGCGGTGGGCATTTAAACGAAAAGCGCTTAAATAAGCGCGCTTAAAATATTAAGCTTGTAAGCACGCTTTTAAGTATAAGCTTTATAAGCTTATCACTTAAAAAGTGTGAGTAAGCTTTTCACTTAAAAAAGTGCAAGTATATTTTTTACTTAAAAAGTGCAAATCCCGCCATCTATGTCTTTGCCAGGAAACTACATACTTCGATCCTTCTAGTCCACTACAGTATCGTAAAATGGGTACGCGGAATTCCTTGGTACTAAATATTTCACAATATCACAGACATAGAACGCGCGACTACAGCGCCGCGTCGGCGTGCCATCTTTCGTGAGCCGGTTAATACAGAATGCGAATTATTATAATGCGACGTAAAAAAATGCACTTTTTTAAAATTTGGTCGGATAACCAACGCTTTTTTCGTTAAAAGCGTTTAATTAAACGAAGTCGAAAAGCAGTACGCTTGTCACTGTGACGGGGTAAGAGCGCGTGGGTGTTGTACGGTGTGTTTGCATGCTTGCTTGACGTGTTAATGCGTTTCGTGTATTGGTTTAATGTGCATATAAAATAGTTAAAAGTATGTATATAAAATCAATGAACTTTTAAGTACGCCTGGATCACGAGTATATTAACTCCAGACAGTCCTAAGCTTGTAAACTAAGAAGGAAAGTTCATTGACTATTATAAAAATGTTTATTATAAAATCTAAATTCAATTGAAAATCTTTCGTTTTTAATGCCAATCAATTCATTAGGTTTAAAAATTTTTTTAATAAAAATTTCATTAATATGAAGAAAAAACGCAATAAAACACTTAAACACATTAAAAACGACAATAAACTTTTCACGCTTTTTTAAACGATATACCTAAACGAAAACACAACACAACGTCGCGCTTTTTACGCATGCTTTTAAACGTTTAAGCCAATAAGCGTTTAAACGAAACGACAATAAACTTTCACGCTTTTGACGTGACAACGTCTTAAATTAGGTTGCGGCTGGGAGTCACTTATGAAAAAGTGTAACGCTCGGTAACGTTACGATGAGTCTCTCGTGTTAAGTTTAAGTTTACATGTACAATGTTTTAGTAAACAAAATATATTTCTATAGTTAAAATTTGTGCAATTCTTATTTTCATTCAATTCCTTGTTCCTATTGTGCAATTTAATTATATTCATATCAATAAATATTCTACCGAGAAAAAGACGTTGTCACGTAAAATCTTCGCCCGTAAAACCGACTTTACAGGCAACCATTTTTTTTTAAACGATATACCTAAACGAAAACACAACACAACGTCGCGCTTTTTACGCATGCTTTTAAACGTTTAAGCCAATAAGCGTTTAAACGAAAAAGCTTTTTTTCAAGCGCGCTTATTTTAAAAAGTACAACGTTTAAACGCTTTTAAGAAATAAGCCGTTTTTTCCATCTCTATTTATAAGTATAGTTGTACACTCCTTTGTCGCCAGTCAATACATCAGTAAAGACCTACGTAATAAATATCAGCGCCAAACTGAAAACATTGAAAAAAAATGTATAAAAATGTTGTTTTTCGATTCGGTAATCTTGTTTAACTAATAGACCTAATTGAAAAAAATCGCGAACCCAAGTATTAAAAGATGCGATTAGATGATGCGAAAAGAAAAGTAGTTTTAATCAGATTCATTAATAAAGGCCTTGTGTATATGAGAATGTTAAAGGCATAAAGTTTATCTTAATTTGTACTAAGAGAAATAAAGTATTTAAATGTCAATATCACTGTAGGAAATTGACGTGACACATGACCTTTATACCAATTATTGATTTTCAGGTAAAAGCGAAAGAAAACAATTTGATGGAAATGAGTAAGTTTTTCTAAAAGTAATGTTAAAATATGGGAATTTTTATACGGCCCTTTATAATTTTATCAATTCTTTATACTAAAATATTCGGAATGAAATAAATAAGAGATTTTTATTGATTTATTGTTAAAAATATAGGTATATTAAAATATTACTTTTTTCTTCTAGAATAAATGGACTGCAGAAAAGTCAAGAATCAAACAAACTCGGAACCACAACATCAACCACCTCTGAAAATATAAATTCAAATATGGTATTCGCACCGCCAAATAAAAACTTGCTTAGTAAGTGACTTAAAATCTCCAACACTTGACCAAATAAAAAAAATAGAAATCAAATGTACATATATCTAACTACTTAATAAATAGTTAGTGAAATTAATTTCAGTCTTTGTACCTGGTTTAATTATTAATTATAAATTGAAACAGGTGATGCCGATGAACTGTGGCCAGAAGATATTGCAAATCCTACTCCTAAGGCCACCACAATTGTCAGTAGATCTGTAACTTCACTGGGAAACATAACTGAAAAAGAAGAAAAAGTTTCTATAACAATTTCAGAGAGAGATTTGGAAAAAGAAATTGAAGACTTTTCTTATAAAAACATTGGAGAAAATTTACGTAAAGGTCATACAAAAGAAGAAAACATAGACTTATTAAAAGCCAAAACAGGCAGTAAAAAAATTAAAAACGGAACTGATTTACAAATAAAATCATTATCAGATCCTCAATACGACAATAGAGACAGTGAAATAAATAAAAGTCCTGACTTAAAACTGAATGATGGCATCGATAAGACTATACCTGATTCAAGAGTACCTATAGAAAAATCTGACAAACTATTTTTGAAATCGAACGCCGAATACAAAGTAACTGATCCGATTTCTAAATTAAACACTACTGAAAAAGATAAACTTTTGTTAACAAATACTAATAACGATTCCATTCAAAAAGGCAATATAAAAAGCGATAAGAATGTTATTTATCAGGCAGATGAACAAAAGCTGACATCTTTATTAGCTGCCTCTGAACCCAAATTTGATTACAGTGAGTATTTAATTTATATTTTGAAGATAAACTACCATCTACATTATATAAAAATCAATTGCTGTTTGTCTCGCTAAAACTCGAGAACGGCTGGACCCATTTAGCTGATTTTGGATTTAAAATGTTTGTGTTAGTCCGGCAGGTTTAAACGGTGAGAAAATATAGTAAAATTCCTAAGCGGCACGAAGTTCACCGGGTCAGCTAGTCAGTAATAAAAAATGTTTATATTAATAAACACCAAATGTATTTTTAGAAGTTAATCCAAACACTGCGCCATCGTGGCTGCAACATGATCACGGAAAAGGTGAACCAAGTGAAGATTCAATCGATTGCCGAGACAAGGGTAAATATGATACGAAACAAATTATTAAATATTTTTATTCATTAGATTCCTTCTGTGATTGGCATTTTCGAGATTAAGCCAATGTCCAGTGTATAAGCCCAAAGAAGATTTAAAATTTTGTACTGTATGTACCTATACTTTTTGTTGTATAAAACGGAATAATCGTCATTAATATTTTGTATTTGAATAAATATTGTTATATTACAGGCAGATTCAATGAACATGAATTACGGATTTGGTGTAAGGACTTAGAACGAATGTTAAGAAATTTAGATTTATGGAATACCTGGCTAGAAACAACATGCAAAAATATGTTATTTTTAATAAAAAAAAGAGGTATGTATACTACCTACATTAAAAGAAATATTGGAACAATTCTTGTCTTGTATTCGGTGCTAAAATAAATGAACTTCGGCAGGAGCTATTTTAGAAATGAACAAATCATATGGTACATACACAAACAGGAGAAATATTCAAGAGTGGATAATATTAAAGAAGAATATGGAAAAAGATTCAATTTTCTGGTCTAAATTAAATTATCGGGCGTACGCGAAACTGAGGACTTATAAAGCTAGGGTAAGTTCCTCATTATGTAGAACAAAAGTATTGCAGCATATTTTTTTGTCCTCAAGAATAAACACGTTACAATTACAGTGGTGAATTATATTATCTGTGGTAATGTTATGTTAGGTAATATATAAGAAAGAATGTTCTAGATGAAAGAGAAAGTTATAATGATGGTGGTGGGTGTTGATACAACTGCAACTGATACATTTGAAACCCTTTTCTTTTAGTTGTCGTTCATATACACTTATCATATTATGTAGGAATATGAACTTTTGCTAGACACGAGAAACAAAAAAGTAATACACAGTAGGTGTCATAACTTATAAAAAAATCATTGCTCAGTGTACTACTTTAATTTTATGGTAATCTAGCCTTTTAATTTCAGATTGTATCAACAAAATACTATGTATTATGTGATTGCAAGAATAATCTCGTGAAAAAGAAACTGTAAATGGTTCACTTTGTATTTTTTGCTTTGATTTCATGGCTAAAGTCTGTGAATAAAATGATTATGTACCTACTAAGTCATAAATAATACAAATCTTTTTCTTTGAAGTACTTTACTGTATTTCTTACATAATAATTCAGGCAGCCAATATTTCAAATAATAATAAATTATCAATAGTAAAACCTTCTGAAAAGCCTTTTTCAACAATAATTCATTATGTAACAATGGTATTTGTAACAAAAAAGGTACTTATATTAAACATAAGATAATACATTTTATAAGCACATACCTATTATCACACACAATGGTATTGCTATTTTTTTGTCATGTCACTTATAATGCACAATTATTTGGTTGAAATCGTACTTTCGCACATTAGTGTCTCTACAACCAGCAAATATCCATTTGCCATTGAAGGATAGATCCCTGATGCCGTCGCAATCGGAGCCAGTTAATTGTACCCTGGTCATGTTGTATGATTTATTCAGTGACAGGACGGTGCAAGTGCCATCTTGACGCCCCACCACAAACAACTGGTTTGGAAGTGCGATCATGCTCAAAACTGGACTGGCTGATTCGTTCCATTCACTAACTGCATCTCCATTATTCAGGTTCAGCTGAATCATCTGAGTATAAAATTTTTGTACATTAGTTTTAACTGGATGTGAACTTTCTACTGTTTTTTACTTGTGGGTAATGCCTTAACTTTAACTGAGCCCACTTCTTCCCACTATTTTGGTCCAGTTCAGTCCAGTTATATGGCTGGGCGTAATAAACGGACTCCTAACTACTAAAAACCAGATAATTATTTTGCATCTGTCCGAATTTGTGCTGGCTGAAGAGTTTTTAATCGTTGCATTACAGTTACAGCCGATGATTGTTAGAAATGCGAGGTTCAAGCTCGAATTTTGACAGTACCATAATCGTATCGCATCGTCACGTCTATGAAAACTATGCACCGGACGTAAGAACAAACTGATGACGATACGATTACTTAGATTAAAACAAAAAGGGAAGATACGGCACTCGTGGCTCAAAAGTGATCCGCTTAAATTGTGGTGCATGACCATAATTCGCTTTAGTCACAATTGGACATTCAAACACGCTGCATGTAAAAAAAATAAAAATAAAAATAATAAAAAAAAAATATAAAAAAATTGCGTATATTCCTTGTAATGAAGATAAAATAATGTCTTCGATGTTTTTATAAAAAACACAAATAGTTCAAAATCAAATAACAAATGCCTCGGCAACACTTTACATTAGTAAAACTAAAATCATTTTTTCTCAAAAATCACGTTTTGTCGTGAATGTAATTTACGTAATCGCCATTTTGTTATCAAGAAAAGGACAACAATCAGCTCAGCCGTTTGTAGAGAGAGAAAAGAAAACTCAGTCGGTTGCCATACGATGCGGACTAGCCGTTTCGCTTGCGCTGCGATTAAGCGTAAAGTTCTGTCTCGCTCGCTCGGCTGAATGTTTATATACAGACGTGTGCATATGTGAGAGTTGCTTATGTAGTTGAGTCGGATCATATTTAATTTGAAGCTAGTATGAGCGTACTGTATCTTCCCTTTTTGTTTTAATCTAAGTTCAGATGTGTACTTCCTATCTAAACCAATTTAGGCTTTGATTTCGTCCAATTGAAAAAGTAGTCCGATTTTAGCACTCAATCACGCCTTGGTCAACTTACGTAATACGGAGTGTAGTCAAGACAAAATCAATAACTGAACCTTACCTTTCCATCAGCGCAGCCAACAATTGCTGTCTGATCAATCACAATACATGCATTGCAGGAAGATTGCAGTTGCTTGCGGTATATTTCTTCTCGCTTGGCAATATGAGAGCATAAAACTAAGCCACTTTCACAACCAACTACTAATAGCTTGTTGCTTGTGCCCACCTGTAATTAATAAAAAATCGGATAACGATGTTATGTTCTTGCCCTTTATAACGTTTTCGAAGCACCGTATATAGGGCAGAGGAATGGACCAGCGTAAGGTAGCTACGCTCGTGGAGTATGCAGGAAAAGAACAGAATAAAGGAGCGTAAGAGTATGATGTAAGTCCTGCGCTGGCTAATTGGGAGCCAGTTCAGTTTTGAGTGGAAATAAGATATGTGGTTAGAATTGCGAAGATTTAAATAAATCTGATAAGTACATATCTTCTGCAAACGTTCCAGCTTGGTTAACAGTTCCTCGGATAGATCAGTGTAACAGACGTCGGCATAGTTCAGAATGGAGTAAAATAATCTGCGCAAGAGTGCTTTTAGTACTGTACCCTTAGCACAAATCTTGATACGCGTCAAATGTCAAGGAGTTTTATATGGAAATTTGAAGAGCGCCACAACGGACGTAAGGAAAATTAAAAAAAATGCATACAAAATTACGGTACAAAACTACGTAATATTTGACGCGTATTAAGATCGAATACAACTAACTATTCGAATTCGCTATTGGTTGGGATTGGAATTCAACAATTCGAGTTCGTCAAATGTCAAGAAGTTTTATATGGAAATTTGAAGAGCGCCACAACGGACGTAACGAGAATTAAAAATCTTTCATACAAAATGGACTTTTTAAAAAAAAATCAAACCGACTTCAAAAAAAAAACACAAACGACAAAAACAGACAATAGCAGTATTTACATAACTAAAAAGCGATAAATAACCTAATTTATTCACTTAATGCATATTATATATCTACAATTATTTAAATATTTACAACTTAATACCTAATACTTTAACAAAGTCTTCTTTAACTATTTAAATATTTACAGTTATCACTTATTTTTGAAGTCGGTGCCAGCCAAACAAATAAATGTAATTAAGAAAACTGACCGACATTAAAATTCAAAGCAAAACTAAGAATAGGAAATTGCATAAGCGCGCTGAAATAATTTATTAATGGAAGCGACCGTCAACGACGTCTGCCCTCACGCGTCTGCCCGCGTTCGGGTGGCACACTCAACCGGCTGACCCCGCGCCCCGCGCCCCAGGCGCACCTTCTCCTTGGTGTGTGTGGTTTTGCGTTTGCTTACCGGCCCGGGGCCGCGCGCCTCAGTCAAACAGCACCACAGATATACTAACGGACTACGTTACCTAGGCTGCAGGCTGGCACCGACTTCAAAAATAAGTGATAACTGTAAATATTTAAATAGTTAAAGAAGACTGTTAAAGTATTAGGTATTAAGTTGTAAATATTTAAATAATTGTAGATATATAATATGCATTAAGTGAATAAATTAGGTTATTTATCGCTTTTTAGTTATGTAAATACTGCTATTGTCTGTTTTTGTCGTTTGTGTTTTTTTTTTGAAGTCGGTTTGATTTTTTTTTAAAAAGTCCATTTATTTCTCGATTTTTAGTTGTGTTAATGCGTTTTGAACTAAAAATAGATGCTAGTTCATTTACTTAGGGTTAGGGTTTCAATTTATTTAATATATAGTCACTAATTAATACGTTCGTTTGACGAATCGTTCATATTTTTTAGGAAGCTATAATTGTTATTAATACGTACTTACTTTGAAGAGTTTGATAATACTTATTAGGTATTAAAATTTCGGAGATTAGCGCGTTCAAACAAACAAACAAACAAACTCTTCAGCTTTATTATATTAGTATAGATTCAGCAATTATATAGTTCATCCAAGTGCCTGCTGCAGTTTCAATTTCGTCAATGTCGTCCATATTGCATAGGAAACAGATCACGAATGAGAAAAATGAGAGTGTTAATAAATTTCTTGTTCTCGCGAGAAGGCCCGGCGAGATTTCTCGCCGTGAGTATGGATGGAATATAAAAACCCCTCTAGACTCACAGCGAGACGTAACGAGAGACTTTACGCGAGAAGCGAGAAAGCGTCCAAACGCAGCGATGGTCTCACTTCGTGTTTGGCCGTGATCAATAGCGCAGAGGCTTCATTATTCATTATTGTGTGCGTTAGCATATTATAATTTTATAAATATTAAAATAAATAAAAATAAAATACCACAGAGTAGGTACATGCACATGAACACGATCTACGCGTAGTCAGTACGAGTACATGCGTTGATCTGAGTTGAGACCGAACGAGAATGTGATACGCTTCTCTTTTCTCACCCGAAACACTCTGACTCGGGCCAAAATACCGCCACCGATCCGAGAATAGGCGACCACGAGAACAAGACGGGCGAGCAATGAATCTCATTCAAGGTGCTCGCGTGTTCTCGGCGTGAATCTGGATGCGCCTTTACAAGTATCCCGTTAGCCCTACATACATTCGATCAACCAATTGCAGTACTGCTCCCAACTCCTAACCGTTGAGGAGTACTGTAGCTTCATCATCAGCACAGCAGCATCAGATGTTGATTCAAGCATACCTCACAAGCAACATGTTAGCCCTACATACTACTAAATAGTTTCCATCGACCAATTGCAGTACTGCCTTCAAACTCCTAACCGTTGAGGAGTACTGTAGCTTCATCATCAGCACAGCACCATCAGATGTTGACACCCTGAAGCATATACCTGAGTAAGATGTGATTACGTAACAAAAACACCATACGAGCATACAATTTTCGGTGATTGCCCTCGATTTCTCCTGGATCCCATCATCAGATCCTGGACTGGTGAAAATGGGACCACCTCAGAAGTAAACTCTATCCATCAAAAAAAATTTTTTTGAAATCCGTCTATAATTGACGAAAATATCGGTGAACATACATAAAAAAAAAAAAAAAAATATTATACATACAGACGAATTGAGAACCTCCTCCTTTTTTGAAGTCGGTTAAAAACTTCTTGACATTTGACGCGTATCGATGTCGATATCGGTACATGCTGAGGGTGCTAATCGGCAAAAAGTTACGTAACTGATTAAGCGAGTGGTATGCGTTATATAATAATAGTTAATTACAGATTTTATTTGTTAATAACGTGAATATAAAGTAAAAGTGTGTTACAATTTTGTCGCATTTAATTGACACAACCATCAATAATTAACACATCGATGTCCATCGTAACACTGACGGAAAATAAGTAAGGCATTGTACTCAGGACCAGAAGTAGCGACCGGTGACTGTGTCGATCGCCGCCACCGGACACAGTAACTACGTTTGCCTGTGACCAGAAGTAACAACCGGCGTCTGTGCCCCATCGCCGTTACAGGATACAGCAACAACGTTTGCCTGTGACCGGAAGTAGCAACCAGCGTCTGTGCCCGATCGTCGCTACAGGGTACAGCAACCACGTTTGCCTGTGACCAGAAGTAGCAACCGGCGACTGTATCCGATCGCCGCCACCGGACACAGCAATTGGTTGCCTGTGACCAGAAATAGCAACCGGCGAATGTGTCCGATCGCCGCTACAGGACACAGCAACTATAGTTTCCTGTGATGGTGTGCCGTGTCGGTAACCAAAAATGTCCACTTTGGCGCAGAGCCTTTAAATCACACCGCCGATTCCGAGGTGAAAAGTGAGTTTGTTCGTACAAAATAGTACTGCTGCACAGACCGCCGCGAACCTGAACGCGAGGCCGAGCGATCCAAAGCGCTACGCGAGCCCCGCCAGTCATAATAATTCATTGTTGAAGATTAACATCCATTTTGCCGTCCGCATACAGCGTACCCGGGCGTGCACATTCTCTTTAACGCGCGACCAAAAACCGACTGAGACAGTGGCTCAAGTCGCGCGGCACGCATTCCCCAAGAGAAAACTTACAGTAAAATCATGCAATCGAATCAACACTACAAAATTGATACCTCTCTCTCATTCTCTACTCCATGTTCATCAGCAGTTGTTGCTAAATCACAGCAATTAATTGGCCCATGTCCTTCCATTACATTGCCAATACAGTTTGATTCTCCAACATCCCACAACTTGGCTGAACCATCTCTGTAAACAATCAAATGAAGGTAAATATCAAACAATACCATACTAACATTTAAAAAGCCAAAGACTAGGTGCAAATATTCTTACTTGCTAACAGATATAACATTTCTACCCTTCTCTATGATACATATATCTGTGACAGCCATAGTGTGTCCTTTTAAAGTTACAGGGTTTATTCCAGTCTCTGCTGACCAGACCCTGCAGGAACCATCTGCTCCAGCAGATATAGCTACAATTCCAGATGGGAAGAACCTACATTTGTATACTGGACCACCATGACCTTTCAAGTCTAGTAAAATTTCACCTGGAAAAATATGACATTGCAGTTAAAACTTCCTGCATTTAAAATGCCATTTTTTTTTATAGTTTTCATAATTTGGGAGATCACAAGAGGGATCTGATTCATTCTCCACATCAGATCCCTGCATAAATCATGTAATTTGATTAAATTCTTAACATGATAAGGTGAAATGATGAAATGAATGAAGTTTTCCTAAAGAAATCTAGTGATTTGATCTAATCGCTGATACTGTTCAGTTCAATTAAAAAGTTATTCTCAAACATTTATAAAAGTTAACAAAATAAATTTTGTAAACTAAATATTCAATAATTTTATTTTATCATTATATAATGTGTTACCACATACCAAATTTATCTGTAGGGTTTGTCATCATAATAAATGCTTTACTTTTGACACTTACTTTAAAAGATTAAAGTAAATATTATTTCCACTCTAACCCCCTTATTAATAAACAAAGAATAAGCTTGGATTAGTTACTCTATGTTTTGTCTGTTCAATGAATGACAAATGGCATTTCAGCAATATGAACCAAACACGGCGTAACTAGTCTAAGCTTATTCCTTGTTTATTAATAAGGGGGTAGCAGTTTAACTAATTAGCTAACAACATACCACTACAATTTTACAACACAGTAATAATTGTGAAGTAATTATACAATTCTCTATGATGATGCATAAGTATAGTTTAAACATTCTTGTGAAAAAACTGGACACTGAATACTCACTTGTTCGACTATCCCATACTAACAGTTTGTCTTCTTCACAAGACGATACAGCTAGTGAATTTTCAGCAATGGACAATGAAAGAACAGCTTTTTTATGGACATTGTGAGTTTTTGTAGGAGCTACAAATGCTACCTTTAAACCAGATTTTATATGTTTAACAACAAGGCTAAAATTTCCATGAGAAATATATTGATAATTGTCAGTAAAGATTATTTTGATTTTGTTATCACTACTATTTATCGATGTTTTCAATTTGTCGTGTATGCTCATCTCATTGAGGTACTTCGAAGATATCCATGCCTCCTGCTTTGGTAATCTGTAAAACATCATCATCATCAGCCTATTAATACCCCCACTGCTGGGGCACAGGCCTTCCCTATGGATGGAATAGGGAGATTCGGCCATGACCCACCATGCGGGCCCAGTGCGGATTGGTGGGTGCTAACAACTGCAGATAAAGCCAGGACCAACGGCTTAACGTTTCCATTATATGTAATTGAATTTCGGGGTAATTTGTAGAGGAGGGGGAGGGGGGGGGCTCCTCCCGACCCCCCCGCCATAAAAGATTTTTGGCGGAAATGCAGTTTTTTTTTTTACCTAACCTAAAAATTCATTAAATCTGTTAAATGTAGTGGAATTTCAGAGGGATAGGTATTAGGGAAGACCCCTCAGAGGGAAGGGTAACCCCCCCCCCCCCCCCCCCCCCGCCCGGCGTTTTTTTTACAGAAATGATATTTATAAAAAATTAGAGGGGTTTTAAAGGTAAAACTGTACTTCCAGGGCCTAGAGGTGATATTTGATTTTTTTGTAGAAAAAGTCTCTATTAACGAATTTTTCTTTCTGGCGCTTCGCCGGCCGCTACCGCGGCACGCTCGCTTCGCTCGCTCGGCTCGCGCGTTAAGGTCACAACACTAACCTAACCTAGTGTGTAGTATCACCACACAAGCGGCTTATTAGAGTCCAAAACTCGCACTACACTCGACTCTTCAGGCGAAGGGACAGCAGAACTCGAGGCCGAAGGCTTTGAGGATGCCATGGTAGTCAGACGATGTTAATATCAACAGGAATACGAAAAAAGCTCTCAACTGCGACGAACACAAACACTGACTGACAGACAGATCTCAATAATGGCGGTAAATTGTCACATTTTGACAATAGTACCAACATAATAAACTTATATTTACCATAGACAACGAGAAACATGTTATTTTTGCATAAAAAAATGGCAGCACTGATCAAAATTGCTGTCAAAATTGACTCATAACCTACAAAAATATTAATTTTCAATATTTTTTTTCTCGAGTTCTATTCGTTTCCGCCTAAAAAGATTTCGTGTACGTGTTTTTAATAGTTAATACCTTGCGTGACAAAAATTTCAGCTTGCAACTCAATTACATATAATGGAAAGGTGAGCCGCCACTTGTGTGATGATACTTCACACTAGGTTAGGTTAGGTTAGTATTGTGACCTTAAGACCGTATACAGAAAGAAAGCCGAAAGCCGATCGGCGCTTATCGGCGCCTATTGGCGATGATCCTTTTTCTATGGACACGCGCTGATCCGAATAATAAATAAATTGTATTTGAATTATTATCCTTAGATTAAATCAATCTAAGTTATAATCTTTTTATAAATCTAATAACTTTATCTTTTATTAACTAAGCGCTAAAATTATTTGTTTCGTACTTACCGAATGGTGACAACAAGTCTTTCTTCTGGAAGGATTGGTTGTTTATGCCAATTGCACCAATTTTTCATCAAACGGTTTTTCACTAAATCCAAAATGTAATAAAATGTTTCTTGAATCATTCTTGTATATGTATAAAATCTTTGTTCATCAAATTTCATTTTTTTTACAAATAAATGATGGTATTCTCCGAAACGTTTCCTTTCTCTATTTATAGGATGTACCCTCCCCCCCCCCCCCTCCCCTACAAATTACCCCGAAATTCAATTACATATAATGGAATTAAGTACCCAAGTGGCTTATTAGAGTCCAAAACTCGCACTACACTCGACTCTTCAGGCAAAGGGACAGCAGAACTCGAAGCCGAAGGCTTTGAGGATGCATGGTAGTCAAACGATGTTAATATCAGCAGGAGTACGAAAAAGCTCTCAACTGCGACGAACACGAGCAATGTCTTGGTCCAAACAGAGCTCCCTTGTATACCTCTGGACCAAGATAGCCAATGTGAAGGGCAAAAGCGAGCCTTCGGCGCTATAACCGAATATCTGGCAAGGGGATAACAATCTCCGATCTTATATCCACGACTTGTCACCAGAAGATCTACCCGAAGAGAGTCTTGGCTTAACTGCCCGGGCTCAAAGGAAGAAAACCTTTATTGAATAAAATAAAAATTACCCTAATCCTAAGGTGTGGACCGTGCCGATAGGATGGATGGCTGATAGGCAATCAGTCTCAAGCGCCAACCTCGATGTTTACGGGCAACCATCGTTGTATAAGTGCCTTCTTACAGGAATAGGCGTCACCCTGTGAGCGACTTATATTTCGTCCTATCTCGTGGGAATCCAATGAATGAAATTATAAAACCAAATCTAACCAAAACTTCACAACCTCAACAAAACAAACCGCATAAAGTGCTTGCCCAACAAGTGTTCCACAAAAGCTTCTTTGACTCAAGACCAAGATCATACTCGTGTGGCGAACTTGCTCAAGATATCCAAACAGAAATAGATGTAACCGCTGTTCAAACACCAGAAACAGATCAACTGCCTCCTTTGTGGCAACGAGTTCCTGGATCCAAAAAACGGAAGTATTGCTTCTCTCCACCTCCCACCGAAACTCAAACCCAAAATCGTTTCAGCAACCTGCCGGTAGATACACCTGAAGATAGACCATCTTTACCAAAAAATCCAAGTAGATCGCCTCCAATAATACTATATGGCATAGAGGACGTAAATGAGCTATCGAAACTAATAACTTCAGTAGTAGATAAAGGTATCCCTTTACATACAAGATTATAAACGGAAACCTGATGCGAGTTATGATTGACTCGGTTGAAAATTATAAAAAAGTTATCGAGCTTATAAGACAAAGAGGACTAATAGGACACACTTTCACTAGAAAAAACAACAAATGCTATCGCATAGTCATTAAAAACCTTCATCATACTACTCCTCATGAAGCCATCGTAGAAGTGATAGAGAAGACGGGAAACAAAGTTGTTGGAGAAGTCATAAACTGTCGGTATGGGCCAGAGAAAAAACCTACTTCCACTTTCTTCGTCAACGTCGCACCCTGTGAGCAAAACAAAGAGTTGAAAGCAATACAGCACATTTATCACCAACAGGTTAAAATAGAGGAGCCACGAAGGTCTAAAACCATAGTCCAGTGTCAAAGATGCCAACAGTATGGACACTCAAAAAATAACTGCTTGAGGCCTTATAGATGTGTCAAGTGCGGCGAAGGGCACAAAACCAGCGATTGTCCTAAAAAGGACAGAAATACTCCAGCTAAGTGTGCACTGTGTTCTCTCGACCACCCAGCAAACTATAAAGGATGTCAGGTCTATAAAGAAATCCTCTCTAGAAAAACTGCCAACAAAATCAACACAAACCCAATTATAGAACCTAACAGAAAGACAACATTAAATAACGTTAAAAGATTCGAGGAAAACAAGACCACAACAAACACCCACAAATATACGAATGCTAGGAGGACTTACGCGGAAGTAACACATGTCAAATCAGTCAAACACCCAACTAATGATAGTGAGAGTAAGCAGCAGTACCCTACAATGGAGCAAATCATGGTCAAGCAAGGATCTACTCATTCAACAAATAGGAACATTAATGAACCTATTGACAACTCTCATCTCCATGCTTCAACCAAATTCCTAAATATCCGCATTGTAACCTGGAACATCAATGGGCTGTCTCCGAACATTTGCGAACTGGAAAACATGTTGTCCATTAATCAACTAGACGTGGCCCTTATATCGAAATCTCATGCAGTTAATAAAAGTAACTTCCAGATGAAAGGCTACAAAATATATTTCACGCCGCACCCCGATGGCCGAGCTCATGCTGGAACGGCGCTAGTCATTCGTTCGAACATTAAACACGTGCCATTGGAAGGATACTCAACATACCACATTCAGGCTACCTCTGTACGTGTAGAGGATCGAACGGGATCATTTATTCTATCCGCTGTATACAGTCCCCCGAAGCATAAGATTACACAAGAAATGTACCAGGCATATTTCGAAACTCTTGGCAACACATTTATTGCAGGCGGTGATTGGAACGCCAAGCATACATTCTGGGGTTCTCGCATCACTCTACCGAGAGGTCGTGAACTGAGAAAAAGTCAATGTGCTCTTCACCTAATGGCAATATCCACTGGAGAACCCAGCTACTGGCCAGCAGACAAATGTAGACTTCCAGACCTCCTCGACTTTTTCGTTACTAAAAACATAAGTCAGTTATATACCTGCGTGGAATCTAGCTTAGATGGGAGTTCTGATCATACCCCGGTAATATTAACTTTGAGCTCATCTGTCATCATGTCCGAAAAACAGCCTGAAACCTTGACAAATCATAAGACCGACTGGGAATGCTTTCGTTATTATATAGATACCAATCTTAACTTTAGGATGCCAATTAAATCCCAAGAAGATGTGGATGCTGCTTGTGTGCATGTCACAAATGTGATTCAGACTGCTGCTTGGAAAAGTACCCCGTATGTTGAGCATGCCCCACAAAACATATTAGTTTCCTCCGAAATAAAAAAGAAAATTTTAGAAAAGCGCCGTTTGCGAAGGATATGGCACCAAACTAGAAGAGAGGTCGACAAAAAGGTGTTTAACCGTGCTGTAAAAGACCTAAAGTTAGTTCTAGAGGCAACTAGGAATGCCAATATCAAACAAAAATTGGAAAGTATGTCACCACATGGTAAAGGCGAATATTCTCTGTATAAAAACACGAGGATTGTTGGAAAACCAATGCAATGCACTCCGCCTATTAGATCTTCTTCTACTTCCTGGGCAAAAACAAATGCAGAGAAAGCTGAAGTTTTCGCTACCCATCTTGCCACAACTTTTAAGCCTAACGATGCTCTAGAGGATGAAACTGAAGTTGAAACGGTACTTGGTCAAGATCTCCAGCTATGCCTGCCTCTGACACCTGTGTCCCCAAAAGAAATTGCAAGAGAAATTAAATTACTCGATTCGAAAAAGGCGCCTGGTTTCGACCTCATTTCAATACGGGTCTTAAAAGAACTTCCTAGTAAATGTATCACCTTCCTGGCATGCCTGTTTAACGCCATATTTAGGACGTCTTGTTTCCCAGCCATATGGATGATCTCTGAAATCATCATGATACACAAACCAGGAAAACCTATACATGAACCTACATCCTACAGACCCATTAGCTTGACGCCTACACTTTCTAAACTGTGGGAAAAGATTTTCCTTACCCGCCTTAAATATTGCATGGATAAATGTGACCTCATCCCTACACATCAATTTGGTTTTAGAAAATCCCACTCCACCATAGAACAAATGCATCGTGTATATGACACAGTAAGAACTTGCTATGAGAGAAAAGAATACTGTTCCGCGTCTTTCCTAGATGTGCAACAGGGGTTTGACAAGGTTTGGCACAAGGGCCTATTGTACAAGGTTAAAAAGAACCTACCACACTCGGTTTACCTCATAATTGCATCGTACCTGTCACAAAGATACTTCAGGGTTAAAGTCGATGACTCACGATCTTCCTTGCAAGCTGTGGAGGCTGGAGTCCCGCAAGGATCGGTACTTGGTCCGGTTCTGTATAACATATTCACGTACGACCTTCCCACTGCTGGCGACGCTGTAATTGCTACATACGCTGATGACATTGCATACCTAGCCTGCGATAAAGACCCTGACATAGCTAGTGCAAAACTACAGAACCTATTAGATCAAACTCACGCATGGCTGAAAAAATGGCGTATTCGAGTCAGTGGTCAAAAATCGAACCACATTACGTTTGCATTAAGGAAGGGAAACTGTTCTCCTGTTCACCTTGGGTCAGACACACTCCCACACTCAGATTGCGTCAAGTATCTTGGTTTCCACTTGGATAGGAGACTCACCTGGAAGCAGCACTTAAAGAAAAAGAGAGATGAAGTTAATATAAAATACAGAAACCTTCATTGGCTTATGAACCGTAACTCTGCCCTGTCAATCGACAACAAGCTTCTTATTTACAATACTATTATAAAACCAGTTTGGACTTATGGGATACAGTTGTGGAGCACTGCTTGCAAAAGTAACATTACTTGCCTGCAACGAGTTCAAAATAATATCCTCAGAACAATAGTAAATGCACCATGGTTCACAAAAAATGACGAAATTCATGAATACTTGAACATGCCCACTGTCGCAGAAGAGATAGACAATTGCAAATCGAGGTACACTGAGCGCCTCTCAAACCATCCAAATCCTTTAATATGCCAATTGCTTGAGCAAGCTGACCGCGTCTCGAGACTGAAGAGGAAGAATGTTCTTTAAAGGAAGTGGTGGCGCTGGCCGACCACTCCTGTCATGTTTGGTTGCGCTCAATAAATTTGCTCATAGTCCAAAGACTGATTGCAAATAATATATATAAAAAAAAAAAAAAAAAAAACCATAGACAACGAGAAACGTGTTATTTTTGCATAAAAAAATGGCAGCACTGATCAAAATTGCTGTCGAAATTGATTCATAACCTACAAAAATATTAATTTTCAATAATTTTTTTCTCGAGTTCTATTCGTTTCCGCCTAAAAAGATTTCGTGTTTTTAATAGTTAATACTTTGCGTGACAAAAATTTCAGCTTGCAACTCAATTACATATAATGGAAAGCTGAGCCAGCATATGCATTTAGTATAGAGCCCTGGTAGTAAATATTTACAGAAGCAAAACAGTTACTAAAACAAAGTGGTATACAGACTTTGAGCCTTTTGTACATATTATAATAAGCCACTTTATTCATATTGAAAGCTCAGATTACAGAACAAAAGATTTTATCCTATGCACAAACTTTTGTTCTATAATCTGAGAGTAAAAGAATAAAATAACTCTTTTGAATACAGAGTCCACAACTCTTTTCCTACCACCAGTTCAAAACCTCTTTTAGTTGTGGAGAAGAACATAACCAAGAAAATACACAATATTCATAAAGTAGTTAGGAGACTTGGGAAATGTTATGTTGTTATAGTTCCACTACACATTTTTCGTGCTGTGCTGTGTGAACCAGGCATAGCATTGCTCAACAAATTTTGAAGGAACAATAAGCCGCCTCACACGACATCATCTCATAGATTTTATAGTAGCTAAGTAGGTGTTGAATTGACGACGAGCTATAGGTTTCAGACACTAAACAATAAGATGATACGCTTGTACAGAAAAGTTAGGAACTAGCCAAAGATATTATTTCGTTTTCCGTCTAGCTTATGAACTTTTTGAATTTTATAGTCGTGAATGACTACTTACCTTATGACATCGTTCCAATCGCATTGTATGGTGACTACTGGTATTAACGTCATGCTAGATAGTTATTAATTTCAGCTACTAAATTTGTAATCCAACACTATCACGCAAGATGACTTTCAAAAACAAACAAACAAAACTATCAACACATACAAACTACAACTTAACAGCCGCACCGCAATCAGGCACTTTTTTTTTTGTTGAAGTTCTCCCGTTTTAGGGAAGACAAAGGGAACAATGCCCATACAGCCTTCTTAATTAATCTTCTTTTTGTTTTTACATTAGAATGTCGGTGTGACGCATTCTAATGTTTCTTGGCGTGTTTGGCACGAAATGTATCGAGTTGGCTTTTTCGATAAACTTCTGTGAGGTAGGCAACACTACAATAAAATTCTCACGTCCACTTGACCGGAATAGCATATATTTTAACGATTCCACTAATTCTTCAGTTACGTAGACAGTTGTTACACAAAACCACACCAATTTTATTTCACAATATCCACTATGAACGAATTTAAGAATAATTAAAATAAGACGCCAACCGCACTCGATGAAATCCCGTCAAAAAACCGCAATCAGGCACTCAGCTGCAGCGTTGCCAACTCGGATTTTGAAAAGGGCGTAGGCCCGCTGAGAAAATTACGTAGAATTGGTAAATTTTGCATATGAAAAGTAAGTAGATCTACGTACTTTTTTCTGAGTGAAATGAAGAAGTTATTTGAAACCGAATAAAACAAGTATTTTGTTATACAATTTGTTTAAGAACGGGAGATAGAACAAAGAGTTCTTGGAGAAGTCGCTGCATTGGAAGTATGATGATGATGATGTGGTAAACATTTACCATCAGACACAGACACTGGTGGGTGCCGATTCTGGATGGTTCTCTAAATTTAAAACATAATTTAACATCAGTCTCTCCTTTTCATTCTGTATAGAGAATGACAAGGATAAACTGTTGTTATAAGGGCTAGTTGACACTTTTTGGAATTATGTTTTAAATTGTTAATAATTGTTCTATCAGAACGAAAAAAAATTTTTTTTTTACCTAGAAGACATACAAAAACGCTCTTTTTAGTTTATAGATTTATCTATGCTATGACGTCAAAACATTTGTAAACAAACACTCGCAAGCACGTAGGAAATAAACTTTCTAAGTTAATATTATAAAACCATGATTTCTAATAGATCACATGAAAAATATAGTAGTTATCATGATACACTTGGTAAAAGACTCTAGAAAAGTTGTGGTTTAAATTGCCAATAGAAAAAACATACTTACACATGAACATATGCTTAAAACTTGCTAAATCCTGTAACTTTATCGACTGAAAGTCTTTTCTTTTTGCAAATATCAATTCAATGTGAGTAGGTACTGATATTGATATTAGTAAAAGTTTAAAAATACAATTTTTAAGGTTATGAATGTACCTATTAAGTCAAAGAGTTTTGTCGTTTCTGCTTTCACAAATCCTGCGTCCAGCATTAATTTAGTCAACAAAACCAATAACGGGAACCTTTTCTACAAGATACAAGAGTGTTTAGATACATCTTTATAAGAAATAAACATTTGTATAGTTTTTAAGTAAAGTAACGGAAAATATTCTTCTTTATTCTAGTAAATTAAGTTATTTTACAAATTTGAAAAAAAATAAGAAAATACGTAGATTCTGGGACTGAAGTTAGTAGGTTTCCAGAAAAGGCCTAAAATACGTAGATCTACGTAAAAAGACGTAAAGTTGGCAACACTGCTCAGCTGGCTGCACGGGCGACCAGTGTTGCCAGAGCCTGCACGGCAAAAGATGTCAATAGCGTCAATTCTGGCACGATTCTCTAAACTTAAAACTAAATTTAAAATCAGTCTCTCGCAGTTCGCCCTTTGAAATGAGAAAATTGAGTTAATATTTCCTAATAAAAGTAAAAATATACCTACACCTGTTTTGTATCATAAAATTCAACAAAAAAATGTTATTACTGACTGTACGTTTCTCTAGTGATGTGGTAAAAGTAGAGTTTAATCGCGCCAAACTAAATACCCTAAAATAATCTGAAAAAAAACACGAAATTTACAGACCTTTTTTGTATCCATCTCTATCAGTCGGTCCAATTATTTTTTTTCGTAAAGCCTTGACCTTGACCATTACCAACCTAAGAAAAAATATTGCGTTCAAGACATATGGTTATGGACTTCATAATTTTGAAAAGATGCCAAAAAGATGTCATTCTAGCTTTGTTGTCAAGCGGATGTCATAGGAGGTCAAAAATTGTCAAAATGATATCAAAAGATGTCAAATGGCAACGCTGCGGGCGACAATCTTCGAACATTGTTTTTTGTCGTTCGACTCTATGGCTCACAAATCGATTTTGACAGTTCTTCACCCCCTCTGTCGCACTCCCCACGCACTTTGATACTATACACTGTGGTGACACTATGAATCAGTTCAAGTGTCAATCGACTGAAGCTTTGCATTGAATAATTTCCGTAGCTTGTTTTCTCAATATCTTAACTGTAACAGTTTTCTAAAACCCAGATCAATGTACATCCAGTGTTATCGGTTGTGAGAGTAGATGAAAGCACATTGCATTTTATAAAATACCCAAATCTGAGACTCCTTTGGTTAAAGTAATTGAAGTTGCAACATTTAAAAAAATAGTTTTATCTTTGTTTTCATAACTATTTGTTATTGAATGATAATAAGTAGTCAAGACGTGGGCGAGCCGAAGGATCTTTTAAAAATACAATTATTTTTTAATGGAGACGTTTATTCGTTCCAACTGCCAGCTTAAGACTAACTATGAACTATCTTACAAAAGCTAAGACAACATGTTGTTGACAGCCCGAGTTGAGCTTATCAGTTTCCGTCTGTCGATTCAGCGTCTGGCTTCTAGAAAATGTTATGCTGACTGCGGGTTATGGTGGGATCAACATCGCCAGGCATGTTATGATGACTTGACGTTCCGGTTGAGTCAACAGACGTAACTAAGTAGACTATACTTTAAACCAAAAGACTACAGAAAATCCTTTTTCGGCACAAAAAATATTCTGCACCGCGGTGTTATCCGCGGATAATTTGGGATTGAACTGCTAGTATCAAAATCATTTTGGTTAGACTGTACAGGGTTGCTACATGCATACTAGTGGCGCCATCATTTAATGTCACGACTTTATAGACAAACTGTACAAACCACTCGGCCACAGAGGTCGCCTTTATAATATTAGTGTGATTATCCTCATTAACATAAAATATCAACCTTTTTTTTAAATTATCATACCCTGGATATCAGAAGGTAAATAAAGGTATTTTTTGTGTTTATAATGATAGGTACCTAGGTAGATTCTTATCCCCTGCTTTTAACTAATGCCAATAGTTAGATGATTTTGAAGTAAAACTTCTTTGCGCGCGATGAGGGTAACTTTTCGTGGCCGCGTCACGATTTGAGCGTCAGATTTTAGTGGAACGATTTTAAACTATTAAAGGACGGATAGAGGTAAACAACTAGAGAGAAAGAGAATAAGCACGCTATATACTTAATTTAATGTTCCTCTCTGTACAACTAATTCAAAACTTTGTACGTATTATATCAAAGCCGTTATACCAAACCATACCGAGATGTAGATGTATGAACAGTCAAATCAGAATGGTACTATTTTCTAATATCAGAATCACATTAGGAACATCTGATGCGACGTGATGCGCCATAAAAAAATCGTGTCGCCTGGCGTAGGTGACGTCGCTTTTTATAAGTCTGTTTCTGCCTTTAGCTCATTGACATTTAGGTTCATACAAAATTAAAACGTTATATTGGCAGTTCATTTGAATATTCGTGTTTGCTGTTGGTGAACTTGGTATCAGTCTGTTAACTTCATATTTTTTAAAGCATGATAAAGACAGACTGTGGATTCCGTTCTCGCGAGTGTTGGTTAATACACGTGTTTATGGGATTTTGACATTTTCAGCAGTTTAGTGGTACTTTCTCCACAGTATAAGCCGTTTTATCTTTAGCAGTGGTGGTAGTAAGTGTATCCTTGTGTTGTTTTTATTGGTAAGTAACACAATAACTTCTTTTTTCCTACCCTTTCCATCGCTTGCGTCGTGAGCGATGGATAGGGTACCTCCCGACCCACCAGATCCTCCGGATGAGGAGCGATCTCCGACTCCGATGGATCAGTCTCCCCCATTGTTCACACAAACAGGCACGCCACGTAAAAGACGCCTCGACCTAGAAGCAGAGGCCGAGCCTATTAGAAAAACTCTCATTACCGAAACACAACAATCGCAAGAAGCCAATCATTCTCTGTATACCCACCCCTCTCTTAATGATACACCTAAATTGTACTCTAATTTGGATAAAGGGCCCTTTATTGTACATGTATCAATTAATGAGGCCTCCCCCTCTACTGGCTCTTCTATCCGACCTCTTATATTTGGCAGATTTTTGACAAAAAACAAAATTAAAAGTATAGTCAAAGATGGAATTAAAAAAATTGGACGCAATCGCATCTCTGTGGAATTTCGATCATATCAAGATGCCAACACATTCTCAAATAATCCCCTATTAGCCCTGAATAAATATGTGGTTACGATTCCAACCTACAATGTAACCCGTATGGGTCTGATTAAGGGAATTCCAACAGAATTAAGTATGGAAGAACTTGTGGAGTCTTTGGATGTTCCAGATGGTTGTGGTATTGTCTTAAAAGCAAGACGTCTGAACCGTAAACAAATTGTTGATGGCAAGACTTCTTGGGTTCCATCCCAATCTGTGGTCCTCACATTTAGGGGCCAATGTCTACCTAAAAGAATATTTTCTTTTTACACATCAATTCCTGTTGAAAACTACCTACTACCAACTATACAGTGCAACAACTGCTGTAGGTTTGGTCATGTTAAAGCTCAATGCCGTTCAAAGCCCAGATGTTTCCGTTGTGCCCAACCCCATGCAGGTGAAACCTGTGTGGTTCCTGAAGAGAAGGCTACATGTCTATATTGTTCCAGTAGACATTTTGCTACAAACAAGTCATGCCCAGAACACTCAAGGCAAAAATCCATTAAAATCAGCATGTCACAGGAAAATATGTCTTTTCATGAAGCCTCTCAGCTTTATCCGCAGGTGAAAAGATCCTATGCTGACTCTACTAAATCTATTTTACCTTCTTTACCAATATTACCAGGCTCACCAAACCCCAGCATACAAAGCAAACATCCTACCTCCTACAAAAAAACTATCTATCGTCAAGCACGGTCTAGGACTCCCCTAGGCAGGTCATATGACAGATTAGCTCACCAAAATATTATAAGTAGCCCTTCATCAACTCTTCCTAATGGCTGTGCATTAGGTAATACAGAAGGCAACTCTGCACTTCCCTCATATGATTCTCCTAATGATGACTACTTGGACCTACTGTGGTTATTAGTAGCTAACATTTTGTCCAAATATAGTGATGTCCCCTTACCGCCCAACGTTGCTTCTAAGATCTTACCTCTTTTAAATAACTTAAATAAAAATGGCTCTGAACATTATACAATGGAATTGTAAAAGCATTCAAAGCAAAGTGTCAGACTTGAAATACTTGATCAATAAATTCTCTCCATCATTACTTGCAATATCGGAGACATGGTTAAACCCAGACAGGCACTTTAGTGTCTCTGGGTTCTCATGCCTTCGGGATGACAGGAGTGATGGATGGGCGGGAAGCGCCCTTCTGGTAAAACGGTCTTTGGTTTATGAAAATTTAATTCTTCCCCCCCATAATTCAGATCGAATTAATGCAGTGGCAGTGAAAGTCCTTGGCATTTCTTTTGCCTCAATATACATTCCTCACCCTAACGCTGACTCCATTCAAGAGCTTCGGTTAATCATTAAAGCTCTTCCACCGCCAATCACCCTAATGGGTGACTTCAACGCCCACCACACCTGTTGGGGATCTCAACAATCAAACAGCTTTGGCATTCTTCTTCATGATCTCTTTGACCAAGAGAACCTATGTGTCATTAACACTGGCCGGCCTACTAGGCGGACTTCCCCATCTCAGAACTTCAGTGCGGTGGACCTTACTGTTTGTTCTCCAAATGTGGCTTCACAATTTAACTGGGACATTCTCTACAGTACATTTGGCAGTGACCACTTCCCCATCGTAATCTCTTTGCCTTCCAACTCTTCCAACCCACATAATACGAATCCTCCGCTTTTAAAGTATAACTTAAATAAAGCTGATTGGTCTTCATATTCTGCAACAGCTGAAGTCAAAATAGCATCCTTACCGGATATATCCCAGGACAACTGCCTCTCTGCTTATTCATCCTTAGTAGAAGTTATGATCTCCTCGGCAGATGAACACATCCCCCTAAAAAACCGTTCATTTAGGAAAAAACACCCACCTTGGTGGGATGCTGAATGTACTGACGTGATTCGAAAAAGGAAGGAGATGGAAAAAAAATATAATCTGTCCATGACAATGGAGAACTATTTGCAGTACAAACAGACAGATGCCCGGACAAAAAAATTCCTTGCCAAGAAAAAGAGAGACAGCTGGGTGAGGTTCTGTGAGGAAATGGCGCCTGGCACCCCCTCTTCTAAAGTCTGGAAACAAATAAAGAGGTTCCGCAGGGCTTCCGACCGTCCCAATCCGACTTCAAATAACCCCGCAGAATGGATGGACACTTTTGCAGATAAACTGGCTCCACCCTTTGTTCCACCTATAGATTGTCTCCCTCTCTGTCCGTATCTCGTCCTCCATTCTAGTCACCCCATGGATAAACCATTTAATTTTAATGAGCTTCAGACTGCTTTATGCGGTCTTAAGGACTCTTCGCCAGGAGTCGATGGTATTCCCTACTCGTTTTTAGTAAATTCTACTGAAAAAATCAAACACTACTTCTTAAAAGTAGTCAACATATTCTTTGAACAGGGCATCATCCCTGAGTCATGGAACAAACAAATAGTAATTCCATTACTAAAATCAGGTAAGGATCCCCGTGACTCTAATTCTTATAGGCCAATTGCTCTTTCCTCGACATTATTTAAAATCATGGAGCACATGATCAGAAACCGTTTGGAGTGGCTATTGGAGAGCCAAAACCTGCTAGCTAAATCACAATATGGTTTTAGGAAGGGTAGTAGCACTTTAGATAATCTTAGTATCCTAACCACAGACATCCGGATAGCTTTTAAGAAAAAGGAGTATGTAGTGGGTTTATTTCTCGATATAGCATCCGCTTACGACAACGTTCTCCTTCCGGTACTCAGGCATAAATTGCAACAGCTGAGTGTCCCAGTGAAGTTGACTCGTTTTATCCTGAATGCAATATCCTGTAGAACTATTGAGATCAGGTATCAGGGTATCTCGCTCCCTCCGAGAATGCTTTGGAAGGGTCTCCCCCAAGGGTCACCCCTTAGTCCCCTTCTGTATAATGTATATACATACGACCTCGAGAAAACGGTTGACTCCTTTTGCCAAGTCCTTCAATATGCAGACGACGTTGCTCTTTATACTAGGTGCAAAAGCATTCCCGAAGCTTCTACTCGCCTCAATTTAGCAATGTCGTACCTAAGTGACTGGCTTACAGATCATGGATTGACACTGTCTATTAGTAAATCTTCCTGTACAGTGTTTACCAAAAAACGAACCATGCCATCGCCAAACATCTTTTTTGAAAGCACACCCATCCCACTGTGCGACCAAGTCAAGTTTTTAGGCGTCACCCTGGACTCACGTCTTTCTGGTTGTCCTCACTTCGAAAATGTAATTAAGAAATGTGAAAAGAGCGTCAACATTCTAAGAGCTCTATCTGGGGTATGGTGGGGTTCCCACCCTTATACCCAGAAATTACTTTATAATGCCATAGTCCGCAGCCATCTGGACTATGGTACCTTTCTCTTGGATCCCTGTAACAAACTCCCTTTAGACAAAATTTCCAAAATTCAGTCCAAATGTTTGCGCATTATACTTGGAGCTATGAAATCTTCACCCATCAACGCCCTCCAAGTGGAAAGCGTTGATCCACCCCTATATTTACGTAGGCAATACCTTAGCGATCGATTTATTCTCAAAATCCTTCCATTTTCGTCTCACCCATTAATGCGAAAATTAAAAACACTGTCACAGCTGTGTCTTTCACAACCTAACTCCTCAAACAACATCCCCTGCATCCTCCATAGCTATAACAAATTCAATTCGACATCTATCCCCATCGAACAATTTCCTTGTCAGCCTCTTTTTATGAACAGTTTTGATTCTTTGACTTTCTCTCCGCCCGTAATCCTTAATTTCGGTGCAGAGAAAGATTCCCCAACTGCCGTTCAGACATTCTTTAACAACCTCTCAACTCACTGGCAAAATTGGACTCCATTATACACAGATGCTGCTAGACTACACGATAAAGGATCCATTGGAGCTGCAGTATGGTTTCCAGCACACAAAATAATTTTGAGTTTAAAATTGCCTCCACTAGCCTCAGTATTTACCGGTGAAGCTATTGCTATCCTGGAAGCTGTTTTATTTATAGAGTCTCACAGTCTGAATAATTCACTTATTTTTACTGACTCCCAAAGCTGTTTACAAGCCATAAATTCAAACCAATTTCGGTCTAAATCTAAATTCCCTATTGTATTAAAAATTAGGGAAGCATTGTTGAGATGCCACCTAAAAGGAACAAACGTAGCCCTAGCCTGGATCCCTGGGCATAATGGTATTCCTGGCAACGAAACTGCGGATACTTGTGCTAAACACGCCATTTCTTCTGGCCTCCCGAAATACTCCAGAGTCTTCTACCAGGACTTATATTCCGTAACGCGCGAGCTTTTATTTAAATCATGGGAAACTCACTGGCTACAGACTAAGAATCGTGTTGGTAAATACTACTTCGATATACAGCAAAATATTCCATCCAAACCATGGTTTTTCAAGGTGAAAAATCTTAATAAAAAAGTGGTCTCTACAATTTGTAGATTAAGGATAGGTCACGCCACTACCCCTGTTCACTTGGCCAGGTTAAAAATACGTGACAGCCCCACATGTGATTGTGGAACCGAGGATGGTACAGTGGATCATCTTTTCTTTAACTGCCCCAAATTAAACATCTCTCTCTATGACATTTTACCTCCCACTATTCCACGTCCTATAAGCATGAAAGTCCTACTATGTTTATGTGATTACCCAACCCTCAAGCTCTTGGCCAAATTTATTTCCCTTAACAAACTAAGATTATAACAAAGCTCCCTGCTTTACTTGTTTTATGTTTGTGTTGTCCTAATTGTGACGTTTTTCTTTACAGGTAAAAGTGCTTATAAAATAGGTAAACAAAATTCTGATTTTTAACTGTCATTCCCTTACGTGTAATGGCTAATCACTTGACATTGGCGGAGCTGTGCTAAGTCACAACGCAAGCCATCATAAAAGAAGAAGAAGAAGAAAGACAGACTGTTGTCAAGTTTACGAATAGCTAATACGAATAGCAAATTAAGTGGCGGCATTAAGCGTAGGTTTGGAACGCAGCCCAGAGACTGTGTTTGTGTGATTGTGTGTTGTACGTTCGTGCCTGCTTGTGGTCATGTTTTGATTTAGTTTAGAAAAGTGGGCGAAGCATTATTAATCTCTTGGGATATTATTGTGATAGTGATGTTATTTAATATTTCACATAATAAAAATGCATTTTTCCATTCCTGATCTGCAACAATTTCACGATGATAATGGAGTATCATACACGGTAATGTTTTGAAATCTTCTACTGAAATATTTCCTGATTACCCTATGATTAATAATGTTTTTACGTTCACTAGGGCTACAATATATACATTGATGGATTTTTCCACTGTACAGCGCGATACAAACAACTTCTTAGCCTTCATGAACAGCTGCAAGCTCAAAATCCTAATTTCAAATTACCACAGTTTCCACCAAAAAAATTGTTCCTTACAAGTACCCAACTCGAAGAACGAAGAATCCTATTAGAAAAGTACATACAATTAGGTGAGCCACTTAAATCCTCAAATTGTATGCCACTATCGTAATCATATACCTACATTTGGCTTGTTCTCTTTTCAGTTGGTCAAAATCCCATTTTAGCAAATTCTGATCTTCTTATTACATTCCTATTTTCTGCACAACAAGAAACACACAGTGTACGAATGCATGAAGTGGACATAGAAATATCTCTAATGAATGGATACAGAATACCTTTGTCAGTGTCATCAACAGATACTTCAAGTACTATACTAGATATTGCATGTAATTATATAAATTTGCCAAAAGAATTGATAAAATATTTTTCACTGTACTTATTCAATTGGAGCTGTGCAAAAGATGCTCAGCCATCCATAAAGAAATTGGAAGACTATGAATCTCCATATATATCTCAAAAATATGTCAGGCCAGATGATAAAATTGTATTGCGAAAAAGGTATGTGAATTGGAATTTTCTGGTGTTATTGGTTGGAAATATTGACATAATTAGATCATTATCAGTTAATCTTTTTCTGGGTCAAGTTACAAGTGGCAGATACAATATGCTCTCCTGCAAAGATACTTTAAGAATTGTTTCAATAATTGTTCTTAAAATTAGTAAATACCTGTAGTAAAAAACCAAGCACTTTTATTACATGTGGATTGTTCATATACTATTTAATTTAACTAAAAAGTTAATCAGTATTGATATATATTTGTAAATTTTCAGTTACTGGGACCCCTGTTATGATGTTGATTTAATGATAGACAGGGTCTCTCTAGACCTTTTATATCTTCAAGTAATTGAGGAATTAGACTTAGGATGGATTACTGCAGATGCTCAAACTAAAAGTATTTTATCTGCATATGAATTGAAAAAACAGAAAAGAGAAGTGAGTAAACATAATTTATTTGTTACATCATATATCACTATTTCATATTTGTGTTTGTCATTATCGTCTTTAACATAGATAAACGAAAATTCAATCTTCTTTTGATACAAAATTATTTACTGTAAGTATCCGTCCTGTCCTGTCTGCTGACTGGTCTGCGTGGATTTTTTCTAGTACAATTTTCTTTAGATTTGAATATGTAGCAGTAAAATGCTTAAAATATAACTACTATAAGTATATTGTCCTCAATGAGTCTGTTATTGAAGATTCACTCTTTAATACCTATTGAGCACCAATATCATTTTGTACAGTTATCAATAAATTAAGGTCAAAGTATTACTGTCTAACTAGGTAATAATATGTATCATTATACTGTGAAAGTCAATGTGTGTGTTTTGTTAAGGAATATTTTAAGTATTTTTTTAATATGTTCACATGCTATGTTTGGTAAAGTTCAAGAAAAGAAATAATTACATTGATGTTTTAAATAATTACATGACAGTACATTGATATATTGTATATTATCAGGGCTGGATTTAAGGCGTTTTAAAGTTGGAATGTGGCCCACAAAATGTGGAGGATGCTAATCGTTAGTGGCCCAGTGTGCCTACACCTCTAAATCTGGCCGGGTATATTTGCTGTTTATAAAATGTTAAATAAATGTTGTCCTTATAAAAAATTTTTTGACAACCTCCGTGGCCGAGTGGTTTGTACTCTGGGTTTCATGGTGTCCCTGACTCGAGAGGTCCCGGGTTCGAATCCCGGTGGGGGTAGATTTTAATGTGATGAATATGAGCATTTGTACTCCAGTCATGGATCTATAATGTGTATTTCTATATAAATATACTTATATATGGACAGTATATCGTCGTTGCGACTTCAAGACCTCCTATGTGTCATTTTTGTCAAAATACCTTTTTTATACGGGTTTATTTCAAATTTTGGCGCTGCATCGTAAGAAAGAACTCTCATGTGAATAAGTCTTTTCAATTTATATTTATTTACTTTATTCAATATATCCTAAGTGCTTGCTCAAGTGAAGTTGGCATTTAAAATATCTTATGTGTAAAAGCGTTAGATAGGTAAAAATTGTTAATTTTCAAACTAACCAGTAGAAGCACTGGAATGAGAGGGATGCATAGATCGCGTGATTATTTTCCGATTGTAGGTGTTAGATGGGGGTAGTAATATAAAAAGTATGTTAGCTTCGACGGGTTCTCGCTCTGTGGTTAAATTGTGGTTATAACAGTCGATGTGCAAAGTGTATTGCTTGCTCCAAAGCTATTGGCAAGTGCCCTGTACTATAAATTGAAGTTATAATGTCATAATTTCACTGTTTATGAAGTTTTATCTAAAAATGTATCAATTTACTGCTGGCACGAAGCAGACGGTAATGTAACTGCTAATGAATTTACATCTTGCTTAATAGCCCATTGTCAAAATTTACCAACTACAATTGAGTGTATTATTATTTTTATGTTTGTAGAACAGAAACTAAATTTTGTCGAGTGCTCTAAATGATTTGGCAACGAAGGCAATTGAATATCGAACAACTCTATTTAGAGAAAGGAAATCAATGATCTTCTCCTTACTCGCATCTTATCTTTGGGTATGCAGACGACAGCACAGTCTCGGAGAGATATCTGTCTGATGTGAAGTCTGATGCAGAAGTCCAATCTTTAAGGGAGGCGATGGTGGAGGGAGTGAATGCAACCCTGGAAGCTGTTTCCCTCTGGGGTGAAGCCAACTTGGTTGGGTTTAATCCCTCTAAAACACAAGCCTGTCTCTTCTCAGCGAAACGGAGTCCATTCTATCTGACTCCGACTTTCCAAAATATCTCCGTGCCGATTACAGACCATCTCGAGCTCTTAGGTCTGGACATCTCATTCAGCCTCAATTACGGTCGCTACATCGAGTCCATTGCTAAAACCGCTGCCAAAAAACTTGGAATACTTTCAAAGATCAGGCGATATTTTCCATCTGAGCAGCTCCTTAACCTTTATCGAGCCCAAGTTCGCTCCTGCTTGGAGTACTGTTGTCACCTTTGGGATGGATCTGCTCGGTATCAGCTGGATGCACTGGACACCGTGCGAACTGACTCATAGGCAATGACGCTCTCGTTGAGGCTAATCTCTAGAGCCTTGACCACCGAAGACGTGTAACTCGCCTCTCGGTGTTTTATCGGTTACATTTCGGGGAGTGCGCGGAGGCACTACACTATTTGATTCCCCCTTCCCCTTTCCACCACCGAACGACCAGGCGCGGCGAGGGCTTTCACCCTTATGTCGTCCAAGTTCCTCCCATTCGCACGAAGCGATTTACTTCCGCTTTCATTATGCGAACGTCTAGGAAGTGGAACTCCTCTCGGACCAATATAATCTGGAAATCTTCAAGGCCAGAGTGAACAGGCATCTTCTAGGCAGGCGTGTACCATCCTAGGCCTCATCATTGCTTTCCATCAGGCGAGATTTTGCTCAAACGCCTTGCCTATTAAACATAAAAAAGGGCACACCATGATGGAGGTGGACAGTGTTCACTCCACTATTGAGCAATACATAAAACCACTGTTCTATAATATTGTCATTGCAATGATAACTATTAAAAACAAATAACTTGTTTAATTAAAAGTATTGTGTTTTTAATCTCAATCCCATTACTTACTTATATTCTCTAATGTGATACAAAACGCGCAACCAAAACCATGTGACACATTGAATTGTTTTTTTATTTTTTTACTACAATTTCCTTTTTTATTTAAAATGACAAGAGCAAAATAAAAATCATAAAACCCTCTAGTTATCACTTGTATTTTTTGTTATATTTAGTTTCCTTATATTTTTTTCAGTAGACAGTTTTTATTGAATATCTCGCATTGAAGAATTTTACACATGGGAGGTCTTAAAGTCGCAACGACGATATGTATTCTATAAGTTACCCTAGTATCCCATAACACAAGTCTTACAGTGCTTACTTTGGGGCTAGGCTAATTGGTGTGAGTGTTGGAAATATTTATTTATTTATTAATTTCTAATGTGCCCTGCCTGTTCTTTAGTATATAGAGTTGGCAAGATCTCTAAGGCACTATGGCAGGATACCAGCTGGAGAAGCAATCACAGATTCCTCTGTCATTTCTGAGAGTGGCAGTGACCAATGCAGAGTTCTGGTGTCACTTGGAGCCAAAGAGCTGACATTGAGCAGTGCTACATATCGTTCCAAAGAACAACGGTTCAAGGTCACCAGAATGAGGTGCTGGAGAATAACAACACTGCATGCGGTAAGTTATTAATCACTCTTGTGTACCTACTAGTAGGTATAAGTTAAGAAATATTTTTTCTGTGGAAGTCTGGGCCATGCATGTTCATGAGTTACCGTTTACCTACTGCTCGGATTGGCATGGCACCGACACCAAATGGTAATTTGACTTTAAGTGTAGTCTATTTAGATATAAGTAAGGAATTATTGCTTACTTTTTAGTGGTTTTGTTATTATGAAGTCTGTAACGTGTTAAAAAGTCACATGAATCCCCTTTGTTTAAAGAGCGACATAGAAGACGTTGTTTAGGATGTCTGTCTCACCTCGTTTTTCATCAATAGTAGTCAGTTTTTTTATTATTACAAGTCTGTTTTTATTTTTGTTAAAAATGTTTAAATTCCAAGATATTATGGCGAATTAATAGTAGGGGCATTCCACGCGAAGCGGACAGGTAAAAAAACTCGATGTTTCCGATTTCAGTAATATTTGAGTATGCTACTTATACTTATTATTGATAAGTGTACCAAATATTTTTGTGATATAATGACTAGTTAAAGAGTAATAGGACTTTGAAGTTTTCGACAACCGGTTGGCATGCAGTACTTCAAAGCCGATTATGGACTCATAAAATTATATATTAAAATAACTAAACCACTGGATTTCCTACTTTATTTACTGGGCTTCTTAACTGAGTTTTTGGAAAAGAAAAAAAAATTTTTTTCGTAAAAAAAACCAATTTCAGTTTTTTTCCTTGCTTTTCACCAAGTTGACCATTTAGTTTTTTTTTTATTTTTTTTATATAAATTGCTAATATTGTATAGAACATTGGTGCCAACTTTTATAATGGGCGTGAAAGTGGATTAGGAGCTAGACTGAAAATACTGCCGATGGGTGGCGTCCAGCGCCGCGCCTGTTGACCGCCGCTTGTGCGCGATTAGTCGTCAAACTGTCAATCAAATAAAATCACTTTAGACGGAATGTTTTGTAGATTTTTAATAAAACCAACACATAGAAAAATTCCACGCGGACCAGGCAGCATACGGGACTCGAACCCGCACCCTTCGCAATCCGGGCGAATGCACTGACCAATTATGCTACCGCGGCCCTCACGGACCGCGTCGAAATTCCTCTAGCCATTCTTAAGCAGCAAGGCAGCGCCATCTCTTCGCATTATAGGTAATCCACAATGTCAAATGAATACTTTTACAAGTATTAAACATTTGAAAGAAGAAATAGCAATTAAAGTTATACTTTTTTTATTTCTTTAAAGCATGTAACTGCTTGATGTTTAAATCTAAAGAAAATATAACTAGAAAAAATTCCACGCGGTCCAGGCAGCAGACGGGACGAACCCGAATGCGAAGAGATGGCGCTGCCTTGCAGCTTAAGAATGGCTAGAGGAATTTCGACGCGGTCCGTGAGGGCCGCGGTAGCATAATTGGTCAGTGCATTCGCCCGGATTGCGAAGGGTGCGGGTTCGAGTCCCGTCTGCTGCCTGGTCCGCGTGATCGCGTGGAATCTACAAAACATTCCGTCTAAAGTGATTTTATTTGATTAACAGTTTGATGACTAATCGCGCACAAGCGGCGGTCAACAGGCGCGGCGCTGGACGCCACCCTTCGGCAGTATTTTCAATCTAGCTCCTAATCCACTTTCACGCCCATTATAAAAGTTGGCACCAATGTTCTATACAATATTAGCAATTTATATAAAAAAAAATAAAAAAAAAACTAAATGGTCTAACTTGGTGAAAATCAAGGAAAAAAACTTAAATTGGTTTTTTTACGAAAAAAAAATTTTTTTTTCTTTTCCAAAAACACAGTTAAAAAGCCCAGTAAATAAAGTCGGAAATCCAGTGGTTTAGTTTGAGTCCATAATCGGCTTTGAAGTACTGCATGCCAACCGGTTGTCGAAAACTTCAAAGTCCCATTACTCTTTAACTAGTCATTATATCACAAAAATATTTGGTACACGTATCAATAATAAGTATAAGTAGAACATACTCAAATATTACTGAAATCGGAAACATCGAGTTTTTTTACCTGTCCGCTTCACGTGGAATGCCCCAGTAGTTTCATTGGGGTTTATAAACTGACCATATTTGACTGCAATTTGCACTACTGTCAATTAATTTCTTGGTCATCACATAAATATTTTATGTATAGGTAGTAGAATTCTTGCTTCTCTAAATATCCAAAATGGCAAGGTTTAATATAATTTCCATTAAAAAATAAAAAGCCTATTATAGCCTTTCCAAAAAAAGAAAATGAATGAGCCGACAGCCATGTCGACACGGTAAACTTATGTATTCTACATTAAAAATAATTTATAACGTTCCGTGATAATCCATAATGAAAACGGATTTTGAACGAAAATTGCGTTATAATAGGTAAACAGAGATATTGTGAAGTGTGAGCTGTCACTTTTTACTTCCTCTAATTCTTTCTAAGGGGAAGCAAAAGATTCAGTGTTTGTGAAAACTCCATCCATTGGGTCATGGTCAAGGCTGGATTTAGAGGTTTGATGGCCCTGGGGCAACGAAGGAGTGGAGGCCCCTAACGATAGCATATTTTAAAATCTGACTGGCTCCGCATTTAACGGTAAAAATGCGAAAAAGCTTATTTTGGAAAAGGCAGTTAAGGTCGAAATTGGGTAATTTTTACCTCTGTTGTGTGGAGTCTCTTATGGAGGCCCCTGGCCCACTGTCTGCTTGCCTTGAATATGGCCCTGCCCCCCTAGCATGATCACCGCGATATGATATATAACGCGTTTTTATCACGCTCAACTGTCAAATTACTATGGGGTTTGACAGTTAGACGCGATAAAAAACGTGATATAATGGTAATTGTGGTGCTCATGCTACAGGGATTGGTCATGGTAATGTTATCATATGCTGCGCCTGCGCCTGCTGGGGGCGGGCGCCCGCCTTCTGTCCACATCTGGGGGTCTACTCTCTTTCTCCGAAACGAACTTTCGATAACGAAGTTCAAACGAAATTTAATTTCGTCTGTTTAAGGTTATACTTAATTTGAACGATAAACTATCAAAATGAAAGCTTTCTTAGAGTAGGCTAAGAAAATCTACACCTCAATCTATACTCCGCCATCGAATATTATTATAATTAAAAACGAACTAGAAACATAGTAAGAAAAGTACGAAGTTTCGATCGAAATTTCGTTTTTCGTTGAATTAGAGTAGGCCTCCTGCGCACATGTGTGTACCCGGCCTCACCGCTCGGGACATTGTCCCTTCTTTTTACCATTCATTTAAATATATAATGGTGCCAATTCTGGCGTGATTCTCTAAACTTAAAACTAAATTTAACATCAGTCTCTCCTTTTCATTCTGTATAGAGAATGACAAGGATATACTGCTGTCAAATTTAAGTTTAGGTTTAGAGAATCACGCCAGAATTGGCACCAATGTTAAAATATACGGATTACAGATAATTACAATAATAATAAATAGACCTGTCTTTATTTGTTGCCCAACAACATGCCATGAGCAACATCTTTTATTTATAATGTTAATAATATGATCACAATCATTATAATACACACATCAAGAAAGTCTAAGACACGCAACATTTACAGAAACTGTAATGTTCTATTATTGCAATTATTTATTTTTCTTAACATTATAGTTATTAACGGGCTTGTTACCTTGTACCTCGTTTTTTATGAGTCTTCTATATTTCAGCACTACGGAGTAACTAAAGTAATGCAGGTAGATATTTTTGGCAGACATATCGGTCTTCTGACGTCTTTAATTACGCTCGATACCACCTTTTTTTTTACGATGAGAAATCCCTTGACGGACAGTACCGTGCGCTGGCGAGGCGCACGGCGTGTGTGGGACTCACCGGTACCCTCCTACGCCCATGTGAGAGCGTCTCAGGATCCGCGCACCTCTGTGTGCGTCACTTCACTGGGAAGCCCCCGGGCCGGCCCGGCCCAACGAGTGGACCGGGCGACGTGCCTCTGGGGGATTGCGTTAGGGTATACCCTGCCTATAGGCATTCCCCAGACGTGGTGACCTATGCCGAATGGCACCTAGGACTCGCGGTGGCCAAGCCGTGCCCAGACCACCTTAGGGCCGCGCTCGATACCCCCTACCACTGGTCAAATTATCACTTTTCATTTACACCTGTTCCCGACACAATACTTATTCACAGCATCCGACCGCGAAACAACACTTTTTTTATTTTTGCGGTTTTTGCACATACGAATATCTGAGTCTCATAAAAAACAAGGTACAAGGTAACAATCCCGTTATTAACTATAATAAAATTTTGGATTGTGCTCTAAAAGAGCATCGTATAAATATGATCACAATAGTTAAAATCGTTCGTTAAAATATCAAAACCGTACAAATGATGCTTAGACTTTTTTGACGAGTATATTTTGGGCTGATAAATCCATTGAGAGACAAAACTTTGTTTCCAATTAGACAGCGTGACCTACTTTTAGGGATGTTGTAAGTGGTTAGCTGAACATCGACATTAACATTAAATGTTTCGTACATTTGATGATTTATCAGTTTAGTTAGTCATACGAATTTACATCTGGTACCAGTATAATGTAATACTGTAGGTATTATACGATTTTAGTGCATAACAAACAATTATATTCTACTTACTAGGTAATAAAAAGAATTCGTCATATTATTGGAATTAGCAGAATTACCTCACTATCTCCGTTACCTAATGTCGTTTAGTATTAAGGAAAATTTAATTTACTTATAATTTAGCGTCACTAAAATGACTAGGTAGCAGACGGGCCTCGAAGCGTTTTCTTTAGATTGAAACATCTAGCAGTTAAATGCTTAAAATAAATATAAAATACGAGGGCAGTTTGGCAACTCAATGACTTTAAGAAATGCATAAAAACTTTTTCCAAATTTTTATTTGTCTCCTATTTTAGTCCGGGAGGCACCAATCCTGAAAGCTCCGTGATCACGGATTCTAATATATTTAATAAAAAATTAAAGTTAACGTTTAGACGAACAAGATTTGCTTGGTTG